GAAATATTGTAATACTATCAGCAACATTAAAACCTTGATTGCAAAGAGTATTGTATCAACCAATGATTCTATTCTACTTCAGATTATCTATGCATGGAGAGAATATGTGGACAAAAGAACATGTAATGAGCCAATTTCTGTGAGTTTATGATTCAGTAAAATTTTATAATACAAACACATCTTATAGCTTCACTTTTGTTTTTATCAACTTTGAATGATTTATTTATTCAAATGATTCCATAGATATCTATATTACTGATGCAGTAAAATTTTATTCATTACACAAGCAAAGATCACAAAGCGATATTACTCTGAAGCTTCAATGACTGAGGTGAAGAAATGAGATATATCGATTCACCAGCTTGCTCACGACTACTCTCTTGACATTTTCAGGCATAGGACATACATCACTTTCCATGGCTATTTTAAGGACAACATGTTTCAGGCTAGTGTTCTACCGAGTGAGTAGCAAGCGACCAGATGCTTGACTACTATGAAATAACAACACATTATGTACAAACCCGTACATTAGAGTAGGTCTAAATGGCTTAAAATGACCAGGAGACAGGACATGTAAACTACCTTTGGATGACTTCAGATGCATCACTGACAAGTTGTCACTTTTTAGTAGATTATTTGAAGAATTTTTTTATCACTATTATAGTAGAATTACGTAAACTTATCCTTGATCTCCTGTTAATAATTATAAATTTCAGATGCCATCTCAATGAAGTTTAATATCTATTTTCTTTCTTATCAACATTTATCTATTAACTAATCTTTTAACATCAATGTCATGGTATTATCAAAACGTGTGTGGAAGGTATCACATCAGCTCTTGACCAAAGTAGGTATCATTTTATTAATACTGTTGGTCTTATTTTAGATGTCATATTACACATATTTCATACTGTCATTCTTTTTTCTTTGAAATAAATCAAAGTGTAACAATGTATTATTTGTCTCTCAGTAACAAGGATACCTCCCTAATCTGGGAGTCAAACTTGTGTGTGTGATTTTGTCTCATCCGGGGGGGAAAATCATAATATATTGGGAAGATTTCACACATTTCAACAAAACTTAAAAATCTCTGAGCATCTATTTCCATTAAAGGCAGAATAAAAGCATGAAAAAATAACAATTTGATTCAATGGTAGGGCAAACTCTTGGATGATTTCCCACACTGACTCAACGTCTCCTTTGTTCTTAAGATCAGTTCACATTTAATACAATTAAAGACTCAATTCAAAACTCAATTGTTTCTTTCACAATATTTGAGCCTTTCATACAAATAAAATAAATCAATATGCTTACTTAAGACTGTAAACCTCACAACTAATCCTATATACTGTATAACAACATATACCACAGACATTTTAACAATTAAAAAAAATTTGTGTAACAACAAAACATAAAATACATGCTTATCAACACATGATGGATCCTACACTCATTATAAATATGAACACATTCACAAACAGTATAATAGGTATACAATGTACATAAACACAGGCTCTCACACACATACTATTCATTAACGTCGCTTCAGAAATTGATTCTGTGAGGAAGAGAACAGGGGAGGGTGTGGCTTGTAACAGGGGAGGGTGTGGCTTGTAACCGGGGAGGGTGTGGCTTGTAACGGGGGAGGGTGTGACTTGTAACGGGGAGGGTGTGACATGTAACTGGGAAGGGTGAGGGAAGAAAGAATAGGGGGAGGGGCAGATTGTTGGGTGAGAAGTGGAGTAGGGGGATGGGAAGTGAGCTTATAGGATTGATTGGGAAGGGAAGACAGTCGGGTGACACTTGCTGTAGTATTGATAATATCAATAGTTATCTGCCTTTTGGGATCAGACCCATATTAAAAAAACCTTCTGTTGGAAGAGAAAATAGCATCTCCCCTCCCCTTGAACAGCCTAGAACATAAGTGAATCATACTCCAAACGAGAAGTTTAAACATCTCCAGTATATACAGATAACAACTAACACTACAAGAGTGCTTCTGATTGGTACAGTGTATATATATCATATATAAAAACTCAGGAATATACAATTATATACATATTTACAAAACTAAAATAGAACTTACAAACTTAATAAAATACAGAATAATATCAGATATCATTGATAAGAACATCGGTATAAATTTAATAATCACATCCTCATTAGTTATACAACTAATACCAATAAACTTAAGGGAGTATGCTACCTCACATACTCTACTACTGATTTGTGTTATCTTCACTACTCAAAATATAAACTTAATATCACCTGTTAAAATCTAAAATCAAATTAACAGGAGTATCCAACACCATTTTTCAAATAGGATTTTTTGATTCAAATTAAATTTTTGTTATCTTTAATGAAAAGGATATTTTTTTTAAATCATAAAAAAGCATATGTCCTAAACATTTCATTAACCACAACAAACAGCTGATTATCTGGTGACAGTACACCAACCCAGCAAATTACCGCTATAACAAATCAATCACATAATTGATAATAATTTAACATCCTGCTACAAGGCAGACAAACGTCACACAATGTTGATTTCAACATGTTGTTCAAGAATAAGATGGTTGAAGCCTACCCAGCATGAATCACTGTATCTGCACTTGTAATAAATACATAAGGAATCTAACATATATAGAAGATCTGGTTACCAGTGAAATTAAAACAGGACAGGCTTGATTCAGTTTGGAATTTACCCTGTTTTTTCTGGGTTTTTCTGACAAATTGTATAAGTTTCTATACTATGAGTTGGGTATTGACCAATCATAAACTCTGTCACAGCCAGGTGATGAATTGGGTATTGACCAATCAAACAATTTATTACAGTTTGGCGATGAGTTTGGTATCAACAAATCATGTATTTTGTAACAGTATGGTGATGAGTTTGGTAGTGATAATGTTTGAATGAAAACACTTAGGAGTAGGAAACCAAATATTTATAACTACTTACTGATTGTAAGGCTCAAGCTAAACAGGATCAGTGGCCATATAGGCCACATTGCAGAGTAAGATTTTGTAAATACACCAAGGCTTTGACAAGATAATTGATGTTTGATATTATAAAAGGTAGAAAAATAGACAAAAATACTAGATATTGCACCAGAAAAAATTTTCAATTGAAGAATTTTTTAACTACTACAAGCATTTTCAATGGAGATGGAATAGGACAAAAACAATGAAAGTGAGATGAGCAATGCTTGACATGGGACATGCATGATGTCACAGAGGTCTGAGAGAGACATGATACCATAACTTATCAACAATATTTTGATCCATTTTTGTAATAATAAGTAACACATTCACTATCACATTTTTATAACATCTAGTTTAGGAAGTAATAAAGCTTAACATCCTTCAGAAATCTTATTAAGTTAATTAAAGACAGCCAATGGTAATTATCATCGGCCATCCAAATTGACTAAATCAAAACAGCTAAGTACGTGTGTAAGTGTTATCTTGACAAGCCATAATTAAGTAGTCACGTAAATGCTGTCAAAGCTGTATCAATTATGACTGACTGACCATATCCATCAATCATGTGAAGCATGAAACACTCGAGACTAGTCAACTGTATCGATAGTCAACCATGTCCTTGATTAGTCAATGGTATCAACCTAGGCCAGTCAACTGTGTAAATCTAGACCAACCAACTGTATCAAGCATAACTAGTGAATATATATGCTGTACTGGGCAACCATATCTATAATTATACCTTAAATCAAGTTTTGTGATGGAATTTTGAAAATTACATTAGAAGACTATGAATGAAAAAATGGTCGAGATTGATTTTGTTTTCTTGTCAACACTGAGACTACAATTAGTACACAATAGATTAGTAACATGATGTTTTCCCCAGGGAAATGAATGACCCAAAATAAAAAGTTTGATGAGGAACTCTATGAAATTGTGCTCAATTGCTGACATTGGTTGCCATGGCGATAATCAAACAAACTGTAGATGATTGTTTCCAATGTGATAATCACAAAAGTTGTTCTGAAAGGTTTCCATGGTGATAAACAACTGTTGACAATGGTTGCCATGGTGATAATCAAATGAATTATTGACAATGGTTGCTATGATAAAAACGAACATAATAATGAGACCCATTTGTGACTTGTATAACTGTTATTAAGTATGAGTTAACATCAACATATGATTGATATAAAGGATGTGTATATCTGGCCTTTGTTGCCCACAATAAATTTTCAGATCCCATTATGTCTGTTTAATTATCATCAGCTCTCCACATAGATATGTGATAGATACTGAATACCTTCTCTTCACAGTGGTGGGTAACTGGATCAGCTGTGCTTCTTCATCCACTTACAATATCATATCTGCCTTATCCTCCATGTTATATCATGACTATCTACAGTTTGGTAGAGGTATCTAACTTGAAATTTTAGATTTGAATTTATTGTACTGTCTTAAGGACAGCTGTTAAATCAAGAATTGTCAATAAATGTTGAACTGTAACACTGATTCAGATTAGTAATAAAGATCTGTTTTTGAGAGACACACTCATCCTTATACTTCTTACCAATTATAATGGCAATGTTATCATCCATTGCTAGCCAATTACATTTCTTAATACAGATTCCTTTATTTATGTTTAGGATTGTAAAGATACATTAAGACTCTCTGACCTCCACAGTGGAAAGTGTACAACAGTACCTTGGTTACTAGGCACAGTCTGTTCCAGTACAGTCTGACCTCCCACAGTGGAAAGTGTACAACAGTACCTTGGTTACTAGGCACAGTCTGTTCCAGTACAGTCTGACCTCCCACAGTGGAAAGTGTACAACAGTACCTTGGTAACTAGGCACAGTCTGTTCCAGTACAGTCTGACCTCTTACAGTGGAGAGTGTACAACAGTACCTTGTAAATTAGGCACAGTCTGTTCCAGTACAGTCTGACCTCCAACAGTGGAGAGTGTACAACAGTACCTTGTAAATTAGGCACAGTCTGTTCCAGTACAGTCTGACCTCCTACAGTGGAAAGTGTACAACAGTACCTTAGTAACTAGGCACAGTCTGTTCCAGTACAGTCTGAACTCCCATGGTGGAAAAGGTGTACAATGGTACCTTGTAAAGTAGCTACAGTCTGTTCCAGTACCGTGCTGGTGTGTGTCATTGGAGAACACACATCTTTTTAAAGTCTGATTCAAACTCATCCTCAATCTCCTGAAGATCTGGTTCTTTCCCTGTTAAATCTGGCATAAATTTGGCAAAATCTAAACCTTGTTGTTCGTAGAATAAGATATAGGCAGAGTTGGTATCCAAACTGTTAGAAGGAATCTCCTGTAAAACAGATCATTATATTCAAATTCTGTATAAAGTAAAGCTATTACATAGTTCATTTGGAAAAATATGTTGTTTTCTATCAATTTTATTTTTTTGTTAAGAAAAATCTTATGAATGATGAGTTTAAAGATAAAGTTTCAAAATAGTAGTAAATGTGTTAGGATTTCTTAATACACCCATAAATCAAAATTATTAGAACAGAACTTTTTAATACAATGAAGTCTGATAGACACATGTCTGCAAGGCAAGTCTTTTATAAAATATCATTTATATGTACCATTAAATTTGATGTCAATACTAAGACTTTTTGGATGTAAGCTTCTTCCTCCAAAAAATAAGGAATTCCTTAAACACAACTGTGAGACTCCTACCTTACAACTGCTGTCATTATAACAGTACCACTTCTTGTTGGGATTCTTTGCATATCCAACATAATGTCCTCCACCAAGTATTCCCGTGTGACACTGAAACAGCACAAACGTTCAGTGTATTATGTATGAAAGCAGAAACTAAACTTGTTTGCTTACATTATCAACAGAATTCCTATTATGGAATGTAATAAACATGTTGTTAGTGTAAAATGTATGGAAACAGAAAGTAAACTTATTTGTTAAAATTATCAATAGGATTCCTATAATAAAAAGTAACAAACATGTTGTGTGAGTAAAATGAATGAAAACAGAAATTAAACTTGGTTCTTTCGAACATCAATAGAATTACTACAAAATTTAACAAACATGTCTGTGTAATATGAAAGGAAATGGAAACTACACCTGTTTGTCAACAAAATAGAGTGCCACTAGAATGCCATCTTTGTAATATATACATACATGAAAACAGACACTAAACCTGTTTGTTAATAATACTGTAATAATCCAATTAATACAGTGACTGAACAAGAAAATGGATTATCAAGACCAAAAGAGTATGATTCCCCGAAAATTGACACATAAAAAACTTATCTTAAAAGTATTGTATTACATTAAATGACAATAACTGTGACAGTAAGTGATAGAGAGATACAGCTGGAAACTATCTAGTAACATGTATATGTCTGTAGCAGTTGAACTCACCGACATTGCATAAAGGTTGTACTTGACATTGGAGTAGTCATTGCCACGCTTGGCAGTACACAGCTGGCAGGGTTTACTGAGACTGGAAGACTCACTGCTGTCTCCTGTCCTTATGTCTCCATTCATCTGACTGTAGTCACTGACATCCATTACAGAACCTACAGTACAGCAGACAAAATTCATCAGTACAGGAGACCTACTCTACTGCTATTTACCCCATAAATGTTTTCATAAATACATCATATATTAACATCATAAATCATTGACACTCAAAGTGATTCTAAATTTAAAAAAAAAACCTTAGAAAACTATTATTTGTTTACAACTAATGAATACAATTTTGGACAACTTTAAGTATACAAATTTAAGGCTTAATGTCATTTATTCTCTTTGTTGAGGTCCATCCAAGGAATCCAAAAACCAACTATTGTATCCTGATGCTAGGTCTGTTGGTAAGTCAGAAGTTGCTTGAGTGTTTACAGATGTTGGACTGATGGGAAAAGTCCATGGTATAAACTCAAGGTCTTGGTGAACTTTTTTATCACATTAATTTGATGCAGTAAATTGTTTAAATTGTTTTAATCAAAGACATAACAGGAACAATGTATCTGACATCTTATACAGTGGAGAAGTGTTCTTTACTTAACATACCAGATTCATCAGAAGAGATTCCACTAGAAACAGAGCCCCACATCCGCTCATTTGGCACAGGGTTATGTTGGGTCGAGGGGTTTAAGTTCTGACAGCAGTGGTTACTTTGGTTGAGGCTCTCCTCAGAGGAGGTGCTGGTGGTAGAATTCTGACTTTTGTTGTCAATTTTCCTGGTTGGTGCAATGTAATTTGATGGGTCAAAATCTTCTACAGGAAACTTGACAATCTTGTGAGACTTGACCCATTTTCCATTTAGAAACTGGAATCTTTTTAAGTTTATAATCTAAAATGCAAAAAATAGATATATCACATTTTACAGCAGGAGAAAATTTCGTCTGAAAATGTTTCTTCTTAATTCACAATAAATCACATTTCTGAATCATCATGAGGAGATTAGAAGAAACTCTAAAGGTTAAGATTCTTCATGTATCTGAAAATTTAAAGGTTGAGAAATGTTTTTGGGACGTCATCTTTCGAAATCGTGAATTTCCATTTGAAATTCATTTCAGTATAACTCATAAGTGAGTAAACAAATACCTCCGGTTTTATTGACAGTACTCAACAAGTTTATGCTTGAACCAGTGTGGGCACTGATATACACAGCAGAGTGGGCACTAATATACACAGCAGTGTGGGCAGTGATATACACAGCAGTGTGGGCAGTGATATACACAGCAGTGTGGGCAGTGATATACACAGCAGTGTGGGCACCAATATAAACAGCAGTGTGAACACCGATATACACAGCAGTGTGGGTACTGATATACACAGCAGCGTAGGCACAGATATACACAGCAGCGTGGGCACTGATATACACAGCAGCGTGGGCAGTGATATGCACAGCAGCGTTGGCATTGATATGCACAGCAGCGTGGGCACTGATATACACAGCAGTGTGGACACCGATATACACAGCAGTGTGGGCACCAATATACACAGCAGTGTGGACACCGATATACACAGCAGTGTGGGCCCAGATATACACAGCAGTGTGGGTAGTGATATACACAGCAGTGTGGGCACCGATATACACAGCAGTGTGGGCAATGATATACACAGCAGTGTGGGCACCAATATAAACAGCAGTGTGGACACCGATATACACATCAGTGTGGGTACTGATATACACAGCAGTGTGGGTACTGATATACACAGCTGTGTAGGCACAGATATACACAGCAGCGTGGGCAGTGATATACACAGCAGCGTGGGCACTGATATACACAGCAGTGTGGGCACAGATATACATAGCAGTGTGGGCACAGATATACACAACAGTGTGGTCACCGATATACACAGCAGTGTGGGCACCGATATACACAGCAGTGTGGGCACCGATATACACAGCAGTGTGGGTACCGATATACACAGCAGTGTGGGGCACTACACAGCAGTGTGGGCACCGATATACACAGCAGTGTGGGCAGTGATATACACAGCAGTGTGGGCACCAATATACACAGCAGTGCTGTGACTTATATATGCAGCAATGCTGTGACTTATATATGCAGCAATGCTGTGACTTATATATGCAGCAGTGTTTCATGTCCACCTTATAGACAAAAGCGTGAAAATAAAATGCAAAGTTTCTCTGTACACAGTATATAATAAAGTATTTATTTATGTACATTTTACCACTGAGGTAGCAGACTACTCACCAGTAAAGTTTCTCTGTACACAGTATATAATAAAGTATTTATTATGTACATTTTACCACTGAGGTAGCAGACTACTCACCAGTATAGGGGGTAGTCGCCAGATGTCTAGTTTTTTCACTGCTAGACAATGTTTTTTACACTTAGAGCAGTAGTACAACTCATCCTCCCCTAGCTCCTCCTCCTTCGTGAAAGCTTGCAGACATGTGTCAAGGTCAATGGGCTCTGTCTGCCGTCGCCGACTCTCTTCAACACTGCTGTGTTCCTCCCATAACTACCGAAAATACAGTACAGAATTATGATGTTACCAAACATAGGGCAGTTGGTTATTGTAGTTAACAGACAGTTAAGAGGATAAAGAGGTGTCCTGTTACAGTGTTACCTCAAGGTTATACCAATACCTAATTATTACTGTCATTATGTATACAAAACAAACCGATGCTCCTATCCACCTTTTTATACCCCTATGGAAGTCTTCATCTAATGAGACCATTGTAAGTTGTTATAACTTGTGCTTAATACTTTTATCCAATTGGTAAATAAAATATAATTTAAGTCAAAGAATAATTAAATTAAGAGACTCTTAAATTTTTTCAAGCAGGCCCCGGTAGTTAACCTGTGGTTAGTAAAAATGTCAAATTGTTTCCACTGAAAAAACAAGAATGTTTAAGTCAATATAAATACTTGTAATATATCAATATCTTCTCTCTCAATAAATCTACAGCTACAAAATGGTGGATTATGTTCCCGTTTTAGTTTCATTCATAATAGAAAATTTTTCACTTACCACTGCTTAGGACATCTGGGAACTTTTGAATAACCAGGACCAGATATTTATCAGTGACTTTTCATTGTAATAACTTACTTTCTCATGCGAGGTTTGGTAGCGTAGATGTAGTGCTGTAGGTTCCCAGTCGATGGCTATAAAGGAACTTCCAAAGTTAAAAGGATCTGAGGTACATTCCAGTCGACATCCACGGCAGAACCTATGTCAGAAAACAATAAACAATAAACCTTGTGTGATAATTAATCCTAAATTCCATTATCACACAAACAATCATCACAACAGAATGAATGACATTCTGGGTATATTGCATGTAAAATTGATAATGGAATGATAATTTCAAATTTATACAGCAAGCTATCTATCATATTTCACTACAGACAGTGACAACAAGAAAATATTGATGATTTAAAAAAAAACCAATGTATGACAATCATTTTCGCACTGCTATTAGATATACCTTTAAACAAATTCAAAATGCCTCCATGCAACCTTGACCCAAGGAGATTCAGTCCTGCAAGTCCCTTATGTAAATCCTTTATAAGAAACTTACCTATACCAGGGACACCAGGCACATGTCAGTCCATCCTTCTGTACGACCTTCAGTGTGAAAGGGTACTCGTATCCCAGACTGTCATCACTGTAAAGAACATTTAACTGTACATATCAACAACATCACAGAGCCTATAGCTGTACAATAAGAAAACAAGTATTAAAGAGATGAAATAATAAAACTTGGTATATGTGAGTTACAGGATATCATTGGTAAGTATAGGGTAAAGGTGTGAACTGAGGGAGATAATGAACAGTGAGAGGGGCTAACTATTGGACCCTGACAGAGGGAGATGATGAACAGTGAGAGGGACTAACTATTGGACCCTGACAGAGGGAGATGATGATCAGTGAGAGGGACTAACTATTGGACCCTGACAGAGGGAGATGATGAACAGTGAGAGGGACTAACTATTGGACCCTGACTGAGGGAGATGATGAACAGTGAGAGGGACTAACTATTGGACCCTGACAGAGGGAGATGATGATCAGTGAGAGGGACTAACTATTGGACCCTGACAGAGGGAGATGATGAACAGTGAGAGGGACTAACTATTGGACCCTGACAGAGGGAGATGATGATCAGTGAGAGGGACTAACTATTGGACCCTGACTGAGGGAGATGATGAACAGTGAGAGGGACTATCTATTGGACCCTGACAGAGGGAGTTGATGATCAGTGAGAGGGACTGTTTATTGGACCCTGACAGAGGGAGATGATGATCAGTGAGAGGGACTAACTATTGGACCCTGACTGAGGGAGATGATGATCAGTGAGAGGGGCTACCTATTGGACCCTGAAAGAGAGAGATGATGATCACTGAGAGGGACTAACTATTGGACCCTGACAGAGGGAGATGATGATCAGTGAGAGGGACTAACTATTGGACCCTGACAGAGGGAGATGATGATCAGTGAGAGGGGCTAACTATTGGACCCTGACAGAGGGAGATGATGATCAGTGAGAGGGACTAACTATTGGACCCTGACAGAGGGAGATGATGAACAGTGAGAGGGACTAACTATTGGACCCTGACAGAGGGAGATGATGATCAGTGAGAGGGACTACCTACTTAACCCTGACAGAGGGAGATGATGATCAGTGAGAGGGACTACCTACTTAACCCTGACAGAGGGAGATGATGATCAGTGAGAGGGGCTACCTATTGGACCCTGACAGAGGGAGATGATGATCAGTGAGAGGGACTAACTATTGGACCCTGACAGAGGGAGATGATGATCAGTGAGAGGGACTAACTATTGGACCCTGACAGAGGGAGATGATGATCAGTGAGAGGGACTAACTATTGGACCCTGACAGAGGGAGATGATGATCAGTGAGAGGGACTACCTATTGGACCCTGACAGAGGGAGATGATGAACAGTGAGAGGGACTATCTATTGGACCCTGACTGAGGGAGATGATGAACAGTGAGAGGGACTATCTATTGGACCCTGACAGAGGGAGATGATGATCAGTGAGAGGGACTAACTATTGGACCCTGACAGAGGGAGATGATGATCAGTGAGAGGGGCTAACTATTGGACCCTGACAGAGGGAGATGATGAACAGTGAGAGGGACTACCTACTTAACCCTGACAGAGGGAGATGATGAACAGTGAGAGGGACTAACTATTGGACCCTGACAGAGGGAGAGGGGCTGATGATCAGTGAGAGGGAGGGACTAACTATTGACCCTGACAGAGGGAGATGATGAACAGTGAGAGGGACTAACTATTGGACCCTGACAGAGGGAGATGATGATCAGTGAGAGGGACTAACTATTGGACCCTGACAGAGGGAGATGATGAACAGTGAGAGGGACTACCTACTTAACCCTGACAGAGGGAGATGATGATCAGTGAGAGGGACTACCTACTTAACCCTGACAGAGGGAGATGATGAACAGTGAGAGGGACTACCTACTTAACCCTGACAGAGGGAGATGATGATCAGTGAGAGGGACTAACTATTGGACCCTGACAGAGGGAGATGATGATCAGTGAGAGGGACTACCTACTTAACCCTGACAGAGGGAGATGATGATCAGTGAGAGGGACTAACTAATTAACCCTGACAGAGGGAGATGATGAACAGTGAGAGGGACTACCTACTTAACCCTGACAGAGGGAGATGATGAACAGTGAGAGGGACTACCTACTTAACCCTGACAGAGGGAGATGATGAACAGTGAGAGGGACTACCTACTTAACCCTGACAGAGGGAGATGATGATCAACAGTGAGAGGATGACAGTGAGAGGGACTACCTATTGGACCCTGACAGAGGGAGATGATGAACAGTGAGAGGGACTACCTACTTAACCCTGACAGAGGGAGATGATGAACAGTGAGAGGGACTACCTACTTAACCCTGACAGAGGGAGATGATGAACAGTGAGAGGGACTACCTACTTAACCCTGACAGAGGGAGATGATGAACAGTGAGAGGGACTACCTACTTAACCCTGACAGAGGGAGATGATGAACAGTGAGAGGGACTAACTATTGGACCCTGACAGAGGGAGATGATGATCAGTGAGAGGGACTAACTATTGGACCCTGACAGAGGGAGATGATGAACAGTGAGAGGGACTAACTATTGGACCCTGACAGAGGGAGATGATGAACAGTGAGAGGGACTAACTATTGGACCCTGACAGAGGGAGATGATGAACAGTGAGAGGGACTACCTACTTAACCCTGACAGAGGGAGATGATGAACAGTGAGAGGGACTAACTATTGGACCCTGACAGAGGGAGATGATGAACAGTGAGAGGGACTACCTACTTAACCCTGACAGAGGGAGATGATGAACAGTGAGAGGGACTACCTACTTAACCCTGACAGAGGGAGATGATGAACAGTGAGAGGGACTATATTGGACCCTGACAGAGGGAGATGATGAACAGTGAGAGGGACTACCTACTTAACCCTGACAGAGGGAGATGATGAACAGTGAGAGGGACTACCTACTTAACCCTGACAGAGGGAGATGATGATCAGTGAGAGGGACTAACTATTGGACCCTGACAGAGGGAGATGATGAACAGTGAGAGGGACTAACTATTGGACCAAGACAGAGGGAGATGATGAACAGTTAGAGGGACTACATACTTAACCCTGACAGAGGGAGATGATGAACAGTGAGAGGGACTACCTACTTAACCCTGACAGAGGGAGATGATGAACAGTGAGAGGGACTACCTACTTAACCCTGACAGAGGGAGATGATGATCAGTGAGAGGGACTACCTACTTAACCCTGACAGAGGGAGATGATGATCAGTGAGAGGGACTAACTATTGGACCCTGACAGAGGGAGATGATGAACAGTGAGAGGGACTACCTACTTAACCCTGACAGAGGGAGATGATGAACAGTGAGAGGGACTACCTACTTAACCCTGACAGAGGGAGATGATGAACAGTGAGAGGGACTATCTATTGGACTCTAACAGAGGGAGATGCTGAACAGTGAGAGGGACTACCTACCAGTCCTGTGCATGATTTGCTGATTTGGCCTCTGATGGGGGTAAGGGACTGACTAGGCGAGAAACCTGTGTCCATACAAACTGATAAAGGTCAAGGTTATTTGTCTTCTCAGAACATGGAAGAATAATTGGTGTCCCAAACAAACACGGGCGAGTTTTCTGAGATGATAGGAAGTAAACATCCATCAGGTTCTGGAAAAACAAGAAAAGGTCAACATATTAGTATACCAAACATCAGTATGTACATCAAAATTTAGCACAATTACCTTACAATTGATCAATTTATCAAATTCAATATCTTCATCAAAATTTATCTTGGATCTGTCGATGGATTAACTTTATAACAGACATTAATACTATATTACATATTTTAAACAGGACCAACAGATTAATTCATCAAATAAGATAGGTTTCTTAATGAGAAAGAATTACTCACCATTTTCCTGTGAACACTGATGACGAAGCCTTTAAACAAGATCTCCCCTACAGATCTTGCCATACTGTTGTTATTTTCTGGTGTTCCATTAAGACTTCCCATCATTCCTGCATCGCTTGGGTTACGGGAATGTGATGGTGTGTTTCCAGTTGAGAGAGATCCACTGTCAGAACTTGTAGTAAGACTTGTAGGTAATACATTACCATTGGATAGCTTTGTCTGAACTTTGGCTACAACAAGAAAGTAAAAAAAAATAAATTCACATATAACATCATTTGTCGACAAATTCCATATTCTAGTGTTTATCCAAAAGAAATCTCAGAGTATCAACACATTTCTTCTTGCTCAAAGTCTGTGAGAGGGCTTATCAATGGACAATAAGATAGCATTGGTTTACAATTTTATTGAACAGCAACACATTGGGATGGGCTTATTACCAGGCATTGGGTTATATGGGGAGAAGGTGAACACCAACCTTTTGTGAGTCCTCTCTGTATGTCATTTAGCCCCAAATTACTCTTGGATTTATTATTTTTTTCCTCCTCTAGGGTAAGGGGTTTGATATCCTCCGGTGGAGGGAGCTCGTAGGCATATAGTACACCCCCTAGTAATGTCCGAACTTTCTGATCATCTTTGGGTAGGGTCTGAAATGTCACAAATAATAAATATCCTCCAATTTGCAGATATCACATCAGCAATTATATATATATAACATCCACACAGCAAACTCCCCTTTCTGTGCACACTATGGATGTGAGGTACTTCAAAATCTTGACACAGAAAGTCTATTTAATCTAATCTGGCTGTTAATTGATTAGGTCAGGTTTATGTTGAAGTTTCAACCATGAAAGACATATAAAATAATGATTTTACCAAAAACTATTTCCTGTTCTGATATGTGTCGCACAGGAGTCAAAACTGGTCAGGTGTGGCTAAAAATTAGTAGGAACTGGTAAGGCATGGTTAAGCATCAATCAGAAGTGGTCACACATGGTTAAGCATCAGTCAGAACTGGTAACACATCGTAAAGAATTAGTCAAAACTGGTAATGCACAGCCAGCAAAGAATCAGTCAAAACTCAATCAAACACTTGACTGGACAGGCATGGCCGAGAATCAGTCACTTGATTGGTCAGGTATCAATACATTCTGTATTTACCTGGGATGGTGAGGTATCAATATTTACCTGGGATGGTGAGGTATCAATATTTACCTGGGATGGTGAGGTATCAATATTTACCTGGGATGGTGAGGTATCAATATTTACCTGGGATGGTGAGGTATCAATATTTACCTGGGATGGTGAGGTATCAATATTTACCTGGGATGGTGAGGTATCAATATTTACCTGGGATGGTGAGGTATCAATATTTACCTGGGATGGTAAGGTATCAGTATTTACCTGGGATGGTGAGGTATCAATATTTACCTGGGATAGTGAAAAATCATTATTTACTTGGGAAAGTGAGGTAGTATACTTGTTACAGAAAGAGCAGGAATCACAAGATAGTTATAATATAACAATTAGACAACATTCTCCTGATGACTTGGGCACACTGGAGATGCTGAGTATCCCTAGGTCAAATGTGTGATAGATTCTCCGAATATTAAATGGAGCCAATAATGGCCTGTAGCTAACCACTCCTCCAATAGCAGTGTTTAGTTAACATCAGTGAGAGGTTCTTGGCCAGTACTAATAGCGATAAGTGTCAATAATGGGGAGAACAGATGGCCACTTGTCAGTCTCATCAACATTACCAGATCATTAGTAGATCGTGTGCTGACATTCTAAATTGAGCAAATATTGCAATCCAGAATTCTGATAAGACTTCACATATTGATTTGAGTCATCCCCATTATCATTAAACTTAGATATTCTATTTTCTTAACATATTTATTGAATGAATTTTTAGGAGTCTAATGATTATAAACTAAATACAGGCATACATTTAACAACAAGTTTATATTACAAATCAATATATATATACCAACTCATGAAGTGAATCCCTCCCTCTTGTGATTTTGTGATATAAATGGTATTTGAAAAATAGGTTTATGAATGTACATTAACCATGGAATTAATTTTTAACATGTAAAATTCACCCAATGAAACCTCAAAATTAACCTCCCTCAGATATAACCATGTGTACAACACTCCATATGGAGCCTTGTTCCTTGAGAGGGCGATACTATTGAGCTTTTTACCTTGGGAGCTGGATACACTCTAGTGAGCTCTTTTCCTAGGATGGGGGTTTCACCCTAGTAAGCCCTGGCCCTTGGAAGAGGGATACCTTTGTAAGCCCTGGACCTTGGGAGGAGGATACAATCTATTAAGCCCTGTCTCAGGAAGGGGTTATACCCCAGTGAGCCCTGGCCCTAAGGAAGGGGATACACCCAACTGAATCCTGGCCTTAGTGAGGAGGATACACTTTATTTAGCCCTGCCACAATGGAGGACATTTTCTCATGTGCTCATGGACCTCAGTCATCCCTGTCCCTAGGTATACCATCCCAATGAGTCCTTATGGAAAGAAAACCTTACAGCCCTGCCCCGAGGTATACCATCTCAATGAGTCCTTAAGGAAAGAAAACCTTACAGCCCTGCCCCTAGGTATACCATCTTAATGAGTCCTTAAGGAAAGAAAACCTTACAGCCCTGCCCCTAGGGGGGATAGAAACCTATTTAGCCTTGTTTCTAGGGAGAGGGATACATCCTATTGAGTGCTGACCTTAAGGTGTGGAACACACTTGGGTTAACAGTGCCCCTAGGGCTGGGGGGTATACCCTATGGAGCCTTACCACTCGGGAGAGGGATACATCCTATTGAGTGCTGACCTTAAGGTGTGGAACACACTTTGGTTAACAGTGCCCCTAGGGCTGGGGGATATACCCTATGGAGCCTTATCCTTAGAAAAGGGGAAGCACCCTTGTGAGCCCTGCCCCTTGGAATAGGGATACATCCTATTGAGCCATGCTCAAAAAGGAAGGGGAATATACCCTAAAGAACCTTGCACCTAAGGATACCCTATTAGGCCTTAGAGGTGTACTTTTTGAACTTTTTTAGGTTAGGTTAAGCTTAGATAAAACAAAATATTTCATGGATTTAAAAAAAAACATTCTGTGATAAAGGTATCTGCCTAATTAAAAGGTAGCTTTTAAAGTATTTTTCGAGATAATTACAATAGCAGTATAAATGTAAACCTAGTTGAGTATCATATTCTAGAGTGATTTACAATTGATCATATGAAATCCGCAACAGCGAAGAACATCTCACATTATAGAGTGTTTACACACAGCTAAAATTGTCCTTATCTCCGCTTTACCTGGCATGAGTGACAGATTAGACAACTCTCTGTTTTGTTTAATTACCTGGCCATTATCAACATAAGCCCTCATACCATGACGTAGATCTGAGTTCAGCCACAGTAACAGACAAGTCAGCTCAATTCTAACGTAGCAAAGGTAAGTAAGGCCAAACCTTCAGTAGAACTATTAGGTAAGTCAGCTCAATTCTAACGTAGCAAAGGTAAGTAAGGCCAAACCTTCAGCAGAACTATTAGGTAAGTCAGCTCAATTCTAACGTAGCAAAGGTAAGTAAGGCCAAACCTTCAGCAGAACTATTAGGTAAGTCAGCTCAATTCTTCAGGCTAACTTACAGGTAAGTCAACTCAAATCTTCAGTTTAGCCAGCTAAATCCTTTGTCTAATTCACAGGTAAGTCAACTCAAATCTTCACTTTAGCCAGCTAAATCCTTTGTCTAATTCACAGGAAAGTCAGCACAAACCGTCAAGTAAGGCAGCTCAATCCTTCTGTCTAACAGGTAACTCAACTGAATTCTTTGTCTAACTTACAGGTTAGCTAAATTTTCTCTCTAACCTACATGTAACTCAGCTAAATTCTCAGTCTAACTTACAGGTTAGTCAGCTAAATTTTCTCTCTAACCTACATGTAACTCAGCTAAATTCTCAGTCTAACTTACAGGTTAGTCAGCTAAATTTTCTCTCTAACCTACAGGTAACTCAGCTAAATCCACTGTCTAACTTACAGGTTAGCTAAATTTTCTCTCTAACCTACAGGTAACTCAGCTAAATCCTCTGTCTAACTTACAGATTGGTCAGCTAAATTTTCTCTCTAACCTACAGGTAACTCAGCTAAATCCTCTGTCTAACTTACAGGCAAGTCAGCTAAATTTTCTCTCTTACCTACAGGTAACTCAGCTAAATCCACTGTCTAACTTACAGGCAAGTCAGCTAAATTTTCTCTCTAACCTACAAATAAGGCAGCCCCATCCTTCAGTCTAACTTACAGGTTAGTCTGTACTAACCTTCAGTCAAGTTTACAGGTAAGTCAACTCAGCCCTCTGGTCATACATGAAGGAAAGCCAGCCAAATTCTTCTTCACAGTTATAATTGATTATTTGACAATCCTAGTGTTTATAAATTTTATAAATATGAAAGTTGGAGTCAAAACAATTATGCCAGAGAGGTTGAATTTGTATTACATATAAAGCCAGAACAACTAGAACATTACATGTTACATAAAGATGTCCCCGTTATTGTCACACTCCTGAAATATTATATCAGACTGATTTAAGTCAGGATACTACTCACATAATATTGACCGTAAGTCCAGGATATATCAGAAGGGGATGATTAGGTGAGGATCATATTCAATGTTGTTATGTTACTACTGTGTGAGGAGAGTGAGGGTAGAAAGCCAGATCTGTCATTTCCTGTGGTTTGGAGTAGGATTTTACTAAAGTTAACATCTGAAAATCTTATCCTTGTCTATCAAATATAGATGGTAATTATAGACAGGTGGTAATTATAGACAGGTGGTAGGTATAGACAGGTGGTAGGTATAGACAGGTGATAGTTATAGACAGGTGATAGTTATAGACAGGTGGTCAGTATAGACTGATGGTAGTTATAGACAGGTGGTAGATATAGACAGGTGGTAATTATAGACAGGTGGTAGGTATAGACAGGTGGTAGGTATAGACAGGTGATAATTATAGACAGGTGGTCAGTATAGACTGATGGTAGTTATAGACAGGTGGTAGATATAGACAGGTGATAGTTATAAACAGGTGGTAGATATAGACAGGTGATAGTTATAAACAGGTGGTAGATATACACAGGTAGTAGTTATTAACAGGTGGTAGATATACACAGGTGGTTGTTATAGACAGGAGGTAGATATAGACAGGTGGTAGTTATAGACAGGAGGTAGTTACAGACAGGTGGTAGTTATAGACAGGAGGTAGATATAGACAGGTGGTCAGTATGAAAGGTGGTAAGTATAGAGAAGTAATAGATATAGACAGGTAGTAGGTATAGACAGGTGGTAGTTATAGACAGGAGGTAGATATAGACAGGTGGTACGTATTGACAGGTGGTAAGTATAATGAGGGGGTAGATATAGACAGGTGATAGATATAGACAGGTGGTAGGTATATACAGGTAGCAGGTTTAGACAGGTGGTAGTTATTAACAGGTAGTAGGCATGAACAGGTAGTAGTTATTAACAGATAGTAGGTTTGGACAGGTAGTAGGTATGGACAGATAGGTATAAACAGGTAGTAGGTATATACAGGTAGTAGGTATGGACAGGTAGTAGTTATTAACAGATAGTAGGTATATACAGGTAGTAGGTATATACAGGTAGTAGATATAGACATGTAGTAGGTATATACAGGTAGTAGGTATGGACAGGTAGTAGTTATTAACAGGTAGTAGGTATATACAGGTAGGAGGTATATACAGGTAGTAGGTATATACAGGTAGTAGGTATGGACAGGTAGTAGTTATTAACAGGTAGTAGGTATATACAGGTAGGAGGTATATACAGGTAGTAGATATAGACATGTAGTAGATATATACAGGTAGTAGATATAGACATGTAGTAGATATAGACAGGTGGTAGATAGAGACAGGTGGTAGATAGAGACAGGTGGTAGATATAGACAGGTAGTAGGTATGGACAGGTAGGGTATGGACAGGTAGTAGATATAGACAGGTAGTAGATATAGACAGGTAGTAGGTATGGACAGGTGGTAGATATAGACAGGTACTAAGTATGGACAGGTAGTAGATATAGACAGGTAGTAGGTATGGACAGGTAGTAGTTATTAACAGGTAGTAGGTATGGACAGGTAGTAGTTATTAACAGGTAATAGAATTGGACAGGTAATAGGTTTGGACAGGTAGTAGGTATGGACAGGTAGTAGTTATTAACAGGTAATAGAATTGGACAGGTAACAGGTTTGGACAGGTAGTAGGTATGGACAGGTAATAGGTTTGGACAGGTGGTATTTATTTACAGGCTAGTTATGAGATAATTATGATTGTTATGGAAATACTTCCCCCAGCTGAAATAGTAGTGACAATTATCAAGTTGATTGGAGATCCAAACAATTATCTGCTAATAGCATTTCAAAACTGATCATACATAATCCTCCACATGTTTCTACTGTTACAGATAGAAAGGGGAAGTCAAGCTGTCAGCGTGTTTTACTGGTTATAATCTACTGCAAACCATTACTTCTTTCAATACTACTACAGACAAACACTGATATAATGTAGATACTGTTACAGAGAAGCACATTTCATACCAGTAAGATACAGGAACACACAGGATACTGTGTTAGATAAAGGAACACACTGGATACTGTGTTAGATAAAGGAACACACTGGATACTGTGTTAGATAAAGGAACACACTGGATACTGTGTTAGATACAGGAACACACTGGATACTGTGTTAGATACAGGAACACACTGTATACTGTGTTAGTACAGGAACACACTGGATTCTGTGTTAGATACAGGAACTCATTGGATACTGTGTTAGATACAGGAACACACAGGATACTGTGATAGATACAGGAACACACTGGATACTGTATTAGAAACAGGAACATACTGGATACTGTGTTAGATACAGGAACACACAGGATACTGTGTTAGATACAGGAACACACTGGATACTGTGTTAGATACAGGAACACACAGGATACTGTGTTAGATACAGGAACACACTGGATACTGTGTTAGATACAGGAACACACAGGATACTGTGTTAGATACAGGAACACACAGGATACTGTATTTAGTATAGGAGCACATCTGTGGGACAGAGACATTGTTCAGTAAAACCTGTGTTGATTTGAAAACTGTTTAAACAAACCTTATCGTCTAACAAGAGCCATGAATACTAACATTTCAGTGAATTCCTCTCTAACCAATAATATGTCTCTGGTAATGAATGCTAGCCTACAGGATAATTCTAGCTACTATTATTACGGGTCTGGGATGGCAGACTGTCACACGCTGTACTGTATACTTGTGACACGTTACAGAAATTCTGTATATCAGGCCCTTCTCACCCTGTCTTCACTACTGGGTGTCATTGGATTTGTTGGTGTCACTGGCAACAGTGTGGTTATCCTGGTGTTTGCACGTACAACATCGAAGCACACCTCCATGTACTTCATGCTGCTGTTGGCTATCATGGACCTGATGGTGTGTGTGTTCGTGATTCCCTATGTAATTGTCACTGAATGGAGAATCACTGTCCACTATGATGCAGTTTGTAAGATATTTGAGATGCTGAGGTATTTCTCTATACCAACATCTGCCATGATACTTGTGGCAATTTCCTGTGACAGATACATTCTGATCTGTACACCACCAAGTATCCGAATGAAAAAGTCCGTGTCTAAGATTGTAATTGGTATGATTCTGGTCCTTGGAGTGATGTTCAGCCTTCCCCCAATCCTGGGTATAGGTGTATATGCCACCGACTACAGTGGCAACCAGTTCTACATTGGTTACTGTGTTCCTAATGACCAGTACATCACCCCTCATCAACTTGACATCTACTGGTACGTCGTCACCGCCGCATTCAGCCTCATGATCCTCATAATCTTTACCATGTACACTCTTATCTTTGTACGACTGTACAAACAAAACAGGAAGTGGCTGCTACGTATGCCCAAGGTGCACCCTGAACGTCTACGGAGACTTGATGATGACAATCAATCAATGCTTGGGGACAGGAAGAGAAGCAATGTGTCGAATCCTTCATCATCCACCAAGGAAATCTTCAGCATATCTACCCTGAAACATGCGGTGCCTAACCAGCCAGACACCATATCTGAGGAAAATTCAAAGTCAAATGCATCACTCCAACAATGGCAGCCAACTCCAACCTTCTCCTATGCTGATCAACGTTCATCTATGGCTCCCAAAGCTTGGAAACGTTCCCAGACAGAAATGTTAAACCTTTCACACATACATAACGAGAAGAAGCGCATGTCTTTGGATGTGAACAAACTTCAAAAATCTCCGGTTGCTCAAATTAAGTCAAAACAAGGACCTTCAAAACTCATCCAGCGGACGATGCATACTGCTAACTATGTGTCCCGCAAAATGAGCAACACTCGACTGGACTACAGACTAGATACAAACAAAACACTTAAGTCTAGATGGAGTACTGTTAGAGATTCAGTCCTTAGCCGAAAAGTGTCAGTTAACTTTGTCTCTCGGTTCAGAGGAACATCAACCATTGATGCCCCAAACAGGAAATCTATGTTCCACAGTCAGAAGTCAAAACGCCCAATGCACATCAAGACAACCCAAGTTCTATTTATCGTGACCCTTGTGTACGTGATAGCTTTCCTTCCTACCTTTCTCATGTCCAATAATGTAATCCCAAACCATCGTGTAATCTACTACATGTACTTTATCAATAATGCCTCCAACCCTATCATCTATTCCTTCATGAATCAAAGGTTTAGGATGGAGGTCGCAAAGCTCTTTTGTAGAAAGTGAACACAAATACAATATGCTTGATTCTATAGCCTCAGTAACCAGACTGGTATCCGAGGGAGGTTGCAAAGCTCTTTTGTAGAAAGTGAACACAAATACAATATGTTCTCTTCTATAGCCTCAGTATAGACTTCTAAAGACTGGGGGTATCCACGAGAGGTCACAAAGCTTTTCTGTAGAAAGTGTCAACATCAATACAAAGTGTTTTCATCTGTAGCCTCAGTAACCAGACTTCTCAAGGCTAATGGTCTGGATGGGGGGGGGGGGGCACAAAGCTCTTTTGTAGAAAATATTAACATCAATACAAAGTGTTCTCATCTGTAGCCTCAGTAACCAGACTTCTCAAGGCTAATGGTCTGGATGGGGGGGGGGGGGCACAAAGCTCTTTTGTAGAAAATATTAACATCAATACAAAGTGTTCTCATCTGTAGCCTCAGTAACCAGACTTCTCAAGGCTAATGGTCTGGATAGGGGGTGGGGGGGACACAAAGCTCTTTTGTAGAAAATATTAACATCAATACAAAGTGTTCTCTTCTGTAGCCTCAGTAACCAGACTTCTCAAGGCTAATGGTCTGGATAGGGGGTGGGGGGGGACACAAAGCTCTTTTGTAGAAAATATCAACATCAATACAAAGTGTTCACTTCTATAGCCTCAGTAACCAGACTTATAAAGATAGGGTTCTGATATGGAGGTTGCAAAGCTCTTTTGTAGAAAATATCAACATCAATACAAAGTGTTCACTTCTATAGCCTCAGTAACCAGACTTATAAAGATAGGGTTCTGATAGGGTGATTGCAAAGCACTTCTAAAGCAAGTGTTCAAACACAAACAAAGTTTTCTCTTCTATAGCCTCAGTAACCAGGCTTTTAAAAAGAGGGGGTCTGTGGGGGAGGTCCCAAAATGCTTCTGAAGCAATTGTTAACACACTTATGAAATCTTCTTTCCGTGACCTCAGTAACCAGACATCTGGTCTGGGAGGGTCCTGAAGCACTTTTTTTGGAAAATGTCAAAACAAATTGAAAGTGTTGTATTCTGTAACCTCAATAGACAGACTTCTGAAGTCTAGAGAATTTGATAGACTGGATGTTTATAATGGTGAAACCCATCTTCAGTGGGTGAATAACAACGCTTCCACAAACAGACTGCAGTATGAAGACCAGTATATAACAGTTGGGAATATATTCTTTATCACCGAGATACAAATCTTTCTAGACCTCAGTCACTTGACCCCAGAACTTGACCTTGTGTGCTGTGTTATGCTTCTCAATATACGAGATGCGAGTTAAACAATAGTACAGATGTACACCCTGTTAAACCTTACTAATATCTTATATTGTTTCTTTTCAGCTATACTTATTGTAACTTTTACTGCACAATTCTCTAAATAAATGTGATGATATACACAAAACACTGGTGGTTAATTCATGTATATACAAACATCTGACTAAAAACTCTCATATTCTAAAAGGTCCACGGTCAGAGAAACAAAAATCAATAAAACACCATGTTTCACAGATTAAATCCTCACTCGGTAGGTTATCATTGTCAACACTCAACCAATGAAAAACATCCATATTTCAGCAAAAAGTTTGAAGTTGTAGTGATTTTAGTCAAGTTTGACTGTTTCAAAAACTTCACTGTCATGTTTTAATAACTAAAATAATATTTGTTATCTCCCCTTCTGCTTGATATCATTTTTTTTCCAAAAATTAAAAATAATATCCAGTAAATGTTACTGTATAATCTATGACTGTTAATACAAAGACAAAAGATTCCTGGTACTACTTGTATGAAAGAAAAAAAATGTACAAAATCTCTAGCATAGTGAGTTGTTGATGAATAATGACAGAAAACATTTACCTTCACAATAATAAACATTACCCTTTAACAACGACTGAAATGTTTACCTTGACAATGAAACAAATGTTTCCCTTGACAACAACTGGAATTTTTTCCTTGACAATGATACAAACTTTTCACTTGACAACATCTGACATTTTTCAATTGACGACAAAACAAATGTTTTTCCCCTGACAGCAACTGAAATGTTTATTTTGACAATGATAGCAATGTATTTCCTTTAACAACAACAAAATTGTTTACCTTGACAACAATAAACATTTTCTCTAATAAATTGACAACGATACAAACTTTTCACTAGACAACAACTGACATTTTTCAATTGACAATGATACAAATGCGTTTCCCTTGACAACAACATTGTGTAACTTGACAATTATATAATTTTTTTCCTTTATAATGATACAAATGTGTTTCCTTTGACAACAACTGAAATTTTCCCTTGATTACAATACAAATGTTTCCCTTGACAACAACTGAAATGTTTACCTTGACAAGTGGTCCCATGATTTCCACAAAGAGGATCTGATCAAATGGAATGTTGGCTAGCTTACTGAGCTCTCTCTTCAGGGCTCGGTACTTCTCGTCCATGTTCAATCTAAGCCCGTACTTCTTCGGGACAGATCCCTCCAGACGCATCACTGCAACACCAGGGTCAAATGTAGTACAAGCATTCAACATAACATTCACAGAATTCTAAGGGATTTATCTAGTAATCTAATCTGAAACATTTATAAGCTTTCATGCGTGGGTTATATAACACCTAAGGAAAGACACTTCCAATTTTATTATGTATTAGCGAAGGTGACACGAGACAACATTTTATTGTACTTTTTTGTCAAATAATTGTAATTTGTTAAAAAAGTGTATCTTTCAAAACATTAGATGTATATATAATTAATATGTCAAGTCTCAGTGAGAGATACAAAACTGTCATTGCCTTGCTGTTTTTTAGATATCACAATTTGCCTCTATCAAATTCTCTAATAAAATTCAAATGGCATCATCGTCTAATTACTTTCTTGAGGAGTACAGTGTGATGTTTTCATTTCAAATAAATGTTTTAAAATTAATTTCAACAAATCTAACATCATGACATAATAATACTTCACTTCATAAATACAAACATACATGTGAAGTTGATGTTTCAATCAGTATGGGTAGAGACAGGTGACTTATCTATGACCTCAAGCTATATACAACTCTCCATAGGTAGGGGTAGAGACAGGTGACTTATCTATGACCTCAAGGTGTATACAACTCTCCATAGGTAGGGGTAGAGACAGGTGACTTATCTATGACCTCAAGCTATATACAACTCTCCATAGGTAGGGGTAGAGACAGGTGACTTATCTATGACCTCAAGCTATATACAACTCTCCATAGGTAGGGGTAGAGACAGGTGACTTATCTATGACCTCAAGGTGTATACAACTCTCCATAGGTAGGGGTAGAGACAGGTGACTTATCTATGACCTCAAGCTATATACAACTCTCCATAGGTAGGGGTAGAGACAGGTGACTTATCTATGACCTCAAGGTATATACAACTCTCCATAGGTAGGGGTAGAGACAGGTGACTTATCTATGACCTCAAGCTATATACAACTCTCCATAGGTAGGGGTAGAGACAGGTGACTTATCTATGACCTCAAGGTGTATACAACTCTCCATAGGTAGGGGTAGAGACATGTGACTTATCTATGACATAAATGTGTATACAACTCTCCATAGGTAGGGGTAGAGACTGGTGACTTATCTATGACCTCAAGCTATATACAACTCTCCATAGGTAGGGGTAGAGACAGGTGACTTATCTATGACCTCAAGGTGTATACAACTCTCCATAGGTAGGGGTAGAGACTGGTGACTTATCTATGACCTCAAGGTGTATACAACTCTCCATAGTAAGGGATAAAGACAGGTGACTTATCTATGACCTCAAGCTATATACAACTCTCCATAGGTAGGGGTAGAGACAGGTGACTTATCTATGACCTCAAGCTATATACAACTCTCCAGTTAGGGGTAGAGACAGGTGACTTATCTATGACCTCAAGGTGTATACAACTCTCCATAGTAAGGGATAAAGACAGGTGACTTATCTATGACCTCAAGCTATATACAACTCTCCATAGGTAGGGGTAGAGACTGGTGACTTATCTATGACCTCAAGCTATATACAACTCTCCATAGGTAGGGGTAGAGACAGGTGACTTATCTATGACCTCAAGGTGTATACAACTCTCCATAGGTAGGGGTAGGGGTACTTATCTATGACCTCAAGGTATATACAACTCTCCATAGGTAGGGGTAGAGACAGGTTCAAGCTATATACAACTCTCCATGACCTCAAGGTATATACAACTCTCCATAGGTAGGGGTAGAGACAGGTGACTTATCTATGACCTCAAGGTTTATACAACTCTCCATAGGTAGGGGTAGAGACAGGTGACTTATCTATGACCTCAAGCTATATACAACTCTCCATAGGTAGGGGTAGAGACAGGTGACTTATCTATGACCTCAAGCTATATACAACTCTCCATAGGTAGTAGGGTAGAGACAGGTGACTTATCTATGACCTCCTCAAGCTATATACAACTCTCCATAGGTAGGGGTAGAGACAGGTGACTTATCTATGACCTCAAGCTTTATACAACTCTCCATAGGTAGGGGTAGAGACAGGTGACTTATCTATGACCTATATACAACTCTCCAAGGTATATACAACTCTCTCATAGGTAGGGGTAGAGACAGGTGACTTATACCTCTATATACACCTCAAGGGGTAGAGACAGGTGACTTATATACAACTCTCCATAGGTAGGGGTAGAGACTGGTGACTTATCTATGACCTCAAGCTATATACAACTCTCCATAGGTAGGGGTAGAGACTGGTGACTTATCTATGACCTCAAGCTATATACAACTCTCCATAGGTAGGGGTAGAGACAGGTGACTTATCTATGACCTCAAGGTGTATACAACTCTCCATAGGTAGGGGTAGAGACAGGTGACTTATCTATGACCTCAAGCTATATACAACTCTCCATAGGTAGGGGTAGAGACTGGTGACTTATCTATGACCTCAAGCTATATACAACTCTCCATAGGTAGGGGTAGAGACTTAGGTGACTTATCTATGACCTCAAGGGGTATATACAACTCTCCATAGGGGATAGGGGTAGAGACAGGTGATACTTAGAGACAGGTCTATGACCTCAAGGTATATACAACTCTCCATAGGTAGGGGTGACTAGAGACCTCAGGTGACAACTCTCCATAGGTAGGGGTCTATGACCTCAAGCTATATACAACTCTCCATAGGTAGGGGGTAGAGACAGGTGACTTATCTATGACCTCAAGCTATATACAACTCTCCATAGGTAGGGGTAGAGACAGGTGACTTATCTATGACCTCAAGCTATATACAACTCTCCATAGTAAGGGATAGAGACAGGTATCTTATCTATGACCTCAAGCTATATACAACTCTCCATAGGTAGGGGTAGAGACAGGTGACTTATCTATGACCTCAAGGTGTATACAACTCTCCATAGGTAGGGGTAGAGACTGGTGACTTATCTATGACCTCAAGGTGTATACAACTCTCCATAGTAAGGGATAAAGACAGGTGACTTATCTATGACCTCAAGCTATATACAACTCTCCATAGGTAGGGGTAGAGACAGGTGACTTATCTATGACCTCAAGCTACATACAACTCTCCATAGTAAGGGATAGATACAGGTGACTTATCTATGACCTCAAGGTGTATACAACTCTCCATAGGTAGGGGTAGAGACTGGTGACTTATCTATGACCTCAAGGTGTATACAACTCTCCATAGGTAGGGGTAGAGACAGGTGACTTATCTATGACCTCAAGCTATATACAACTCTCCATAGGTAGGGGTAGAGACAGGTGACTTATCTATGACCTCAAGGTGTATACAACTCTCCATAGGTAGGGGTAGAGACAGGTGACTTACCTATGACCTCTAGGTGTATACAACTCTCCATAGGTAGGGGTAGAGACAGGTGACTTATCTATGACCTCAAGGTGTATACAACTCTCCATAGGTAGGGGTAGAGACAGGTGACTTATCTATGACCTCAAGGTGTATACAACTCTCCATCGTTAGGGGTAGAGACAAGTACTTACCTATGACCTCTAGGTGTATACAACTCTCCATAGGTAGGGGTAGAGACAAGTACTTACCTATGACCTCTAGGTGTATACAACTCTCCATAGGTAGGGGTAGAGACAGGTAATTGAAGGGATCAAACCTCACACTGACATGGCTACACTCTTGACACCTGACCTCAGATTTCAGTTGACCGTGAAAAAAGTCAACAATGATTGATTGGTTCCTCTTCAAGTGGTTTTCCCATGCCTGTAAGCAGTATCAAATAAATAGAAACTTCACAAAAACAGTGTTATGCTACTTTGTTATTGACCCAAGGGCCATGACCCCGTTTTATCTTTCAAGTTGGCTTTACCACACAAAACCTTTTGGTAAATTTCCCTTTTATTGTCTAAGTTTGTTTTACCACACAAAACCTTTCAGTAAATTTCCTAAGTGTAAAACTGTAAATAGTTTTTAAAGAATAGAAATTAACTGAATGGCTTATGATAATTTCAGAACTAATTTGAGACACAATCATTTCAACTTGCTAACACCAGCACCACAATGTATATACAGGAACTTTTATTCCACTAGAATTGTGAAACTTATCAGCTTATGAATCAATCTTTTAAGGAGTACAAATTAATGTACACCATAAATGTACTAGAGTTAGTGCTGAGAGAAAACAACTGAGTTTCAGGTTAAAATGTGACATATTTTTTTGTTCATTTTCAAAAGCTGTTGTGACATGAAAAAGCAAATGACATTACACCTGATGAATGCAAATTCCTCAAAGACTTAAAACTCGTTGGTGCCTTGTTACTAAATTTAGGTAGAAGGAGTAATCGACACGTTATCATGATTTTCAATATCAATTTCAATTTTTCCTAAGTTTTTGAAGGTGTGATTGAATATGATTTTAAAAGGCAACACATAATTTATAATAAGAAGTGTCTCCTCACCTCCTCAGCCACTGTGTTATCTGGTCGACCGTCACTGTCCTTCAACTCAACATATGGTTTGTCATGAACCCTGTAAAACATCCCATACATGTTCATATTCAACACCATCCTAGTTCAGTCATGATTTTATCCGGACTTATTTGATAATTCACAATGGAAAAATGAAGAGAAGAAGTTTGTAGTATGTTGGGAATGGTAAGCGAAGTCAATTATCAAACTATAACAAAACATTAGATGTGTGGTCTTGATAAAGTGTACTGGGAAATATTACATGCTTCTGCACATCATCTCTGGGATGAACTGATGTAAACAATTTTACTAAGAGACAGCTAGCTTATCACCTACAGTCACAAACTGATTAAAAGACACAGAGTTGATGGAAGAACAAGAGATCCCAGAGAGAACTTGGTGCCCACAATTGTTTGATCTTTATATGTTATACAAAAGTTGAATCTTTTCCCTTCTTTCCTATTCTTTTCCCTGTTTTCACTCTTAATGATAAAAATTTGAACATTCCTATGTAGAAATAGCAATGATAATTTTTCACCTGCCAAATCCAAGATGGTTGGCTGGAAGCCATTTTGTTTTTCTGACCAGTTCCGAAATTTAACTAGCACAAGTAGAGACCAAAGGGAACATAAGTATGAAATTTGACAGAGATCCATTCAGTAACTCATAAGAAATAGGGATAACAATCTTAACTAGGTGAAATCAAAGATGGCCACCTGTCAGCCATTTTGTTTTTCTGATCAATTCCAAAATTACATGGGCACTACTAGAGACAAAGGGGATCCAATGTATGAAATTTGTGAGAGATCCATGGGGTACTTTTCAAGAAATAGCGATAACAAAAATTGTTCACGGACAGACAGACTGATGACAGATGGATAGACGAGGGACGATGGATGTAGGAAGATAAGAATTGTTCATACAAACGTAAATATTGATGTCTAGGGTTAAGTACCTGTTGAGATCTTCATGAAGGCCATCCAACAGAAAGCTGAGAAGTTCCTGAGAGTCATGTTGCTGGAAGCCGTTAAAACGAGGCGCATATTTCCCTATCGTCCACTGAAAATTATAGATCAATCCTAGGTTAAAATGAAGCCCATGTTTCTCTTATGCCCACACAATACACATTTACTGGCCTAATTGGCCTGCATCGCTCACCCTATAGCTAATGATTTTCACAATACATTTGTCAGTGACATTCAAGTCTTGAATCTCAAAAATGGGTCAAGGTAACTTTGTCATGAAAACCTGTCAGACTTCATCCCAGAAACACACATACACACATCAAATTGGATGTTTCTAGAAGGTATTATACAAACCCACGTTAACAGTAGTGTGAGTGTTACATGCATACCCAAAAGTTGAAGGCTATATATACCAACCCGAAGTTTGAGAGGAGCTATTGACTTGGCTGTCCCACTCCAGAGGTCCTTGACTAGATCACCATACCGTTGAGCAATGTGTCCTTTCATACCCAGAGGGTTTGTCCTGTCAAACAACACAAGGTCAAAGGTCAAGATAAAAACCATTTATTGTAAACAGCGAGAAATAAAAAAAATCATAAAAAATATCCACAATGAGCCAATCTGAACATGTTTTTTTCCTTGAAACCTAAGCTTTTAACAAAGAATTTCCATTGTATAACTAGTGAATCTACTTCACAGAGATGATCACATCCAATCAGGTCTCATCTACCTGTGTATTATTACTTATCTATACTGAGACAGCAAGTACCTGTTGAGTTCAAACAGGTGCAGTCCACCAATGAAGTAATGAGTAAGAGGCCAGGTGTTGGAAACACATTGAACTGCAGCATTCATAAAACATGTGTTACCAAGGTTATTCAGACCTGTGGCGCCTTTCTGGGTGGGAGCTGCAAGGGAGATAATCCACAAATAAATCTTACAATTTAATTTATATCAAGTCTCCATTCAAATTTTAACTTTATGCTCAAAAAGCTTTTTTTGGTGAAAAAATCCTGACTCTAATCCAGAAAGGAAACTTTAAACTGAGTTGTATTAATTGGATCATGTATCTTCCTTCAATTGTTGTTTATCAGTTACAAAATATGATACTGTTTAAACTTCAGTCTGTAAGAACAGCTATACAAGGCTATTATTCTGTGTGACCTTTGTTTAGGCTTTAAGAGTATACCTTGGTCTTTACGACAAGTTTTGTTCTTGGCAAGTTGTGACATTTCCTCCGGCCAAGTGAGATCTTTGTTACGAACTGAAAAACAAATAAAAGGTGGGACATGATAGTACATCTATCAAAGAAGTGAAATACTTTATTCAAAGTCAAAACACTCGACACTGTCGCCTCATCGTACAGAAAAAAATGCTTTTAAATGGTTTGATTTCATGGTTATTTTGCAAATGGCCCATGGAGCCAGCATAGTTCTTCTAACTTAAAGTCAGAAAGTGGGCTTATTACTGGAATATGAAATAGCATTAGTGAGTAATTATACTGAACAGTAATAGACATGTATAGATTGACTTAGTAAAATTGATCATTTAAACAACGTTACAGAGTCTTGAAATCATACTGTAAATATGTGATAAAGTTATTAGCCAATGAGTGAAAGAGATTTCATCACATCATCAAATACTCACTTTCTATGAGGACAAGCTGGTTTTCTTCTAAATAACATTCCTCTATCAGCATATTCTCATCGTCCAGCAGTGACATGTTCTGTTATCACACACATAACATTAATGATTGTTGTCAGGGATTCAAAAAATAATAATAAATAAATACTTATACAAGGAACACACTTTTGTCAATAGAAGGACAGATTCCATGACAGACTTACGACCTGATTATAATATCAACTGCAACAGCACAAAACCTCACTATTTTCATTTATATATCAATATATCAAAGTCTTCCAATGCTAGAAATTAGATTCAATTCAAGTTTGGACTTAATTTTATTTTTTTTTCAAGTGTTGAGAAGAAACACTCTCATTCCTCTGGACTGGGACAACCAGACATTTACTCACATCTTCTTTCTGTCCTATCTTCCAGAGGCGCATATCTTCCCTATTTAGCCTCAGTTTTGTACACAGAAACTCGTACACCTGCTGTAGAGTGTGCTGCTGACTAAACGTTGCTGAATATGCCACAAACCGACGTGGCATTGGGGGATTGTTAGCCACAAAGTTGGTCATTGCTGCAATGATAAATTCAACCATATAGACGACATTGTTAGCTGCTTAAACAATCAGTTCTCATATACATCTCATATATATCTAATCAGTTCTCATATACATCTCATATATATCTAATCAGTTCTCATATACATCTCATATATATCTAATCAGTTCTCATATACATCTCATATATATCTAATCAGTTCTCATATACATCTCATATATATCTAATCAGTTCTCATATACATCTCATATATATCTAATCAGTTCTCATATACATCTCATATATATCTAACCAGTTCTCATATACATCTCATATACATCTCATATATATCGAATCAGTTCTCATATACATCTCATATATATCGCATCAGTTCTGATAAACATCTCATATATATCTAACCAGTTCTCATATACATCTCATATATATCGAATCAGTTCTCATATACATCTCATATATATCTAATCAGTTCTCATATACATCTCATATACATCTCATATATATCTAATCAGTTCTCATATACATCTCATATATATCTAACCAGTTCTCATATACATCTCATATATATCGAATCAGTTCTCATATACATCTCATATATATCTAATCAGTTCTCATATACATCTCATATACATCTCATATATATCGAATCAGTTCTCATATACATCTCATATATATCTAACCAGTTCTCATATACATCTGATATACATCTCATATATATCTAATCAGTTCTCATATACATCTCATATATATCGCATCAGTTCTCATATACATCTCATATATATCTAATCAGTTCTCATATACATCTCATATATATCGAATCAGTTCTCATATACATCTCATATATATCTAACCAGTTCTCATATACATCTCATATACATCTCATATATATCTAATCAGTTCTCATATACATCTCATATACATCTAATCAGTTCTCATATACATCTCATATATATCTAACCAGTTCTCATATACATCTCATATATATCGAATCAGTTCTCATATACATCTCATATATATCTAATCAGTTCTCATATACATCTCATATATATCTAACCAGTTCTCATATACATCTCATATACATCTCATACTTATTTTGCAAATTGTATCTAATCAGTTCTCATATACATCTCATATATATCTAATCAGTTCTGATATACATCTCATATATATCTAATCAGTTCTGATATACATCTCATATATATCGCATCAGTTCTGATATACATCTCATATATATCTAATCAGTTCTGATATACATCTCATATATATCGAATCAGTTCTCATATACATCTCATATATATCTAATCAGTTCTGATATACATCTCATATATATCGAATCAGTTCTCATATACATCTCATATATATCTAATCAGTTCTCATATACATCTCATATATATCGCATCAGTTCTCATATACATCTCATATATATCTCATATATATCGAATCAGTTCTCATATACATCTCATATATATCTAATCAGTTCTCATATACATCTCATATATATCTCATATATATCTAATCAGTTCTCATATACATCTCATATATATCTCATATATATCGAATCAGTTCTCATATACATCTCATATATATCTAATCAGTTCTCATATACATCTCATATATATCTCATATATATCTAATCAGTTCTCATATACATCTCATATATATCTAATCAGTTCTCATATACATCTCATATACATCTCATATATATCGAATCAGTTCTCATATATATCTCATATATATCGAATCAGTTCTCATATATATCTCATATATATCTAATCAGTTCTCATATACATCTCATATATATCTCATATATATCTAATCAGTTCTCATATACATCTCATATATATCTAATCAGTTCTCATATACATCTCATATATATCTAATCAGTTCTGATATACATCTCATATATATCGAATCAGTTCTCATATACATCTCATATATATCTACCTTTTTTGTTTCTTTTTTTTCACTCCTTTTCTCAAATGACATCTTGTTATTTGGATTATCATATTACAATATTTATATATGCCCAGAAGTACAACATCACAGCATGACTCAGAATCAGGGGTTGTGCAGTTGACTTATTATGGTACAATGAAATCGCGTGTGTCTTTTATTCTACTGAACAAAAAAATAATTGACTGGGCTTATTACCAGGTAATTACAGTTTCCTGATCTTCAAAACATTCTGATTTGTGATCAGACAGAGACAACAAATCCATTATAATACAACAATACAACAGAGGTACAGACTCAACATCATCTACAGGCATAACTCAAGTTTCCTTATCATTCTACCACTGGTGAAAATATATAGAAATAGGTACTGTATAGATGGTTATATTTGCAGGGATGATACTCTCTGCAATTTTGTGGAACATACACGTGATCACAAAAATTTAAGAAATTTAAATCCAAGAAATAATGAGACATGTATTAAATATCCTTTTACATCCAGATTGTGAAATTTTAAAGCTTTAAAATATAATTTAATTGTTTTAAATAAAAACTGAAAATTTTGAGATTACCAGCTATACAGTAAATAGTTTAAATCTATGCAGAAGGAATACCATCACAATATTCTAACCAAGGATAGCAAATGTTGGTAACAAAGGCTGGAACAGAAAATTATCCTAATATCAAACAGAAAATGAAGACATGTCCAGATTTTACGAATAAGGTCATGACTTATTCGGTATCAAACCCAGTACGTCCAGTTAACAGTCTGATTCTCTTCATAGAGTCATACAAACGACATGCAGATAAACGGCAACTTTTAATACAAATGTTAAGAAGTTTCCTACAAGTCTTTTCACTTTATTATACAGCAGTTTTGTCCTCTGAGGATTTTAAAGTGATAACGGCCAAAAGAATTTGAATTCAGAAAAATCAAAATTGGCCTTAACAAATGTTGAGAAATAGAAAATGACGTGCATTAACCATTTAATATCAACAATAAAAAAGCTGTCCATATTAGAGTTGGTAAAGAGTGGTTTGAGATGACACATAACTTAAGGCTTCCTCAAAAAGTGTAGTGGCTAATATCTACTGTAAAAGACACCTTGGGTAATCATTTGTGGATCAGTGGAATTCAGGGTCAAGAGACTACAATCAAACTAGTGGTAATACTCTTACATATTCTGTAAAGTAAAATCGCCTGAACACCCTTCTGGTTATATCATTCTGGGTAAACTAGTGGTAATATACTGTCCAAATCTGTACACATTCTATACAGTAAGATGGCCTGAACACCCTTCTGGTTATATCATTCTGGGTAAACTAGTGGTAATATACTGTCCAAATCTGTACACATTCTATACAGTAAGATGGCCTGAACACCTTTTGGGGTATATTCCATTTCCCTACATGCTCATGTTAAGTATAGCTCTATAAGTAAAATATTACAGATATAAATACATACATAATACATATGTCGTAAGTTAAAATCACCAGTGATATATCTGGAACAATCATGACCTTTACAAATCTAATGGAATAGAAATGATTTTTTTATTACAGTGATTTTAATATAAAAATCTTACCCCAAACATTTTGGAAAGAAAAGATGGCTCATTGCCCTTAATAGCGATCTGATCTTCAGCAAATAAAAGCAACGAAACAACAGTTTCCATAAGTCTAAGTGTTCACAGAAATATCAATGGATTGTTTTTTTTTTCATTTTTGGGCTATGATAACATATTTTTTGTAGGATATAAATTGATTGTTTAAATGCAAGAAGAACTCTTTAGCAGGAAGTGGGAATTTTATTCTCAATCACCAAATCTGAAAGTATGAAATGTTAATGAAGAGGATAATTAGTTATAAGGAGATATAATATTGCTGTTTCTTTTCAATATGGTGGTCATAGTGCGATTTATCATAGGATATTGAAGTCTACTGTCACTGAACAGAAAACAATTCTGTTGTTAACTTGTAATCAGAGAGTAAATACTTCATCTCTTGACTGATATATCAGGGTAGGTTTTAAACTATGACTGTGAAACATTTAAACAAAGACTTTCTCCGATGGAGAAGATCTTGACTAATCACTAGGAAATAATTTCACAAGATATCATAATATTCTGGGAAATCTGTTTATATAATGTCCATTGCAAGGTATTTTGGTTCATTGGCTGTCTCATTTCTACATGTTGTTTTACAATCCTACATCCATATTTACTCTGGTTAGAAACAAATGATTAAAGGGAGCTAACTCAATCTTAATCAGTATAATTATATTTCTCACACAGTGACGCTAAATGAAAATATTTTAGAAGGAATAAAGGACAATGCTGAAGTAACGAGAATCTCCTAGTTTGTAAACCATGCTAATTTTTATCAACAATTACTTGATATAACATACAGCATCATGTGATTTGATTTTTAATTGGTAACATTTTCAGAAGTGACTAAACCAGTTTCAGTTATAATCATATAGACATGCTAAAGGACAGTGGTTATTTGGAAGATCCAGAAATTTGGTTAAACAGTACAGTAGAGTAACTATCATATTTCACTTGTATGTATGGTACTTGCCATTTTTGCAAGCTGTAAAACCAAAGAAATGACAAAATACATGAAATACTTACAGAACTGAGGCAAACTTATTGCAATAATCAAATGTGGAGTGGTGTTGTAAACAGAAAATCTTTGAAAACCAAACTTATGCCTCCTTAACATTTAAATGAACATGAAGTTGCATGAAATAGAAATGAGAAAAAACATAGGTCACAGAAACTAGAATTTATTGAAGTACAAGGTCAAAGTAGCTACAAGTATCATTTAGAAGCTTATTTATATTTACTGTATCCAGACTTATTCTATATTTATCGTATCCAGACTTATTCTATATTTACTGTACCCAGACTTATTCTATATTTATCATATCCAGACTTATTCCATATTTATATTTACTGTATCCAGACTTATTCTATATTTACTGTATCCAGACTTATTCTATATTTATCGTATCCAGACTTATTCTATATTTACTGTACCCAGACTTATTCTATATTTACTGTATCCAGACTTATTCTATATTTATCGTATCCAGACTTATTCTATATTTACTGTACCCAGACTTATTCTATATTTACTGTATCCAGACATATTCTATATTTACTGTATACAGACTTATTCTATATTTACTGTATCCAGACTTATTCTATATTTACTGTACCCAGACTTATTCTATATTTACTGTATACAGACTTATTCTATATTTATCGTATTCAGACTTATTCTATATTTACTGTACCCAGACTTATTCTATATTTACTGTATCCAGACATATTCTCTATTTATCGTACACAGACTTATTCTATATTTACTGTATACAGACTTATTCTATATTTACTGTATCCAGACTTATTCTATATTTACTGTATCCAGACTTATTCTATATTTACTGTATCCAGACTTATTCTATATTTATCGTATCCAGACTTATTCTATATTTACTGTATCCAGACTTATTCTATATTTATCGTATCAAGACTTATTCTATATTTACTGTATCAAGACTTATTCTATATTTACTGTATCCAGACTTATTTTATGTCTACTATATATCAAAGCTCATTTTAAGTATACTGTCTACAAGCTTATTCATATTTACTATGTACAAAGTTATTTAATATCCACTGTCCACAGGTTTATTTCTATCTATTGTCTACAGACTTAGCCCAATATATGATAATGCTGAGCTACAAAAATCCTGTGTGAAAGTTACATCTACCACTAATAACAACACAATATACAAATCACAGGAATCTGGCCACAAAAACAATACCAGATCACAATATTTGTGTAGATATTGTAGTAGGTTTACTTCTAGTTAAATCTTCTGTAAATACTAATCAAACAAGGTAAAAGACTTAATACTCTTTCAAAATTAAAGTGAAATTCATCAGAAATGTTGGAGAAATTTTCTGTAATAATATAACCTATTTCTTGATGAAAGACAGTATGTGTCCTGATTGATGTTGTTATGACCAGATTATGCTGTGTAACATCCAGTGTCTACAAAAGTCAATTAGAACAAAGAGATGATAAATAACCTTACTAGTAGATGTGTGTTCATCAGTTTGGATTGTTTACATACAAGTTGACTAATGGCGACAGAGTGACAATCAGGCAATAAAGCTTAACAACTTACTGTGTTGATTGTAAAATCAACTGAGGATATCTACAGAATGGCAATGTGGTGATTTAACTGAATCAATTTGTTGATAATTGACAGAGCTGACCTGGATGTTATGGCAACTAAAAAGCTAAGGCATGCTCACATAATGCCATACCACCAATGCCGGACATCATGCCAGTCAATGTGGTCATGTGGGCGGGGCGTTGACTAGGCATTTGATGGCGTTGTAATCGCACTGTTACAGGGTATAGTTCCAACTCTGGAATTCCATCATTGTTTGCCGAGGCTATCACCTGTAAAAAATGTATATCATATCTGTATATCATCTGTATTACAGCTACCTGTTTATATTACCTGTATTACATCTACCTGTTTATATTACCTGTATTACATCTACCTGTTTATATTACCTGTATTGCAGCTACCTATTTATATTACCTGTATTACAGCTACCTGTTTATATTACCTGTATTACAGCTACCTGTTTATATTACCTGTATTACATCTACCTGTTTATATTACCTGTACATAAACTTCATAACAAATGAATATTACCTGTATTATACACATTACCTTTGTATATATTACCTGTATTGCAGCTACCTATATTATTACCTATAGAATGTATATTTCATCTTAACATATATATCAAATATATAAATTAAATATACAATGTGTATATGTTACCTGTATAAATTACCTGTATGAAATATGTATTATCAGTATATATATATTTAGTGTATCAATGGTAGTTAAACAGACCATACCTACATTTGTAAATAATTACCTGTGGAGCAACTGATCACTATAAATAGTCATTACTGTACATTATATCTACACTGTATACAGAAAATCTGTAATGTCTACACAGGATAGATTTGTCATCATCTTAAAATAATTTCCTATAAGTGCTATGATCAAAATAATCACAGCTTCCTGTGAAACACAAACCCCTGAGGAGGGATCAAACCATATACCTCAGATCTTCACCTGAGAAACACAAACCCCTGAGGAGGGATCAAACCATATACCTCAGATCTTCACCTGAGAAACACAAACCCCTGAGGAGGGATCAAACTATATACCTCAGATCTTCACCTGAAGTTACATTATTTTGATGTGCTAAAGACTGACCTAATCACAATCTCATTCCAAAGGACATAACAGCATTTGTACAAAAACCGAAAAATATAGGTCAGTGGGTTTATCAACAGACATGGACTAAATGGTGGATAATTACCATAAGATTGTTTTAACTTACAGTTCTTGGAAGTGGTGTATTTGTCCCATACCATACAGACAGGGCTCGCCACACTGGCTCTGGGACTAGCTCAAAATCTTTTCCTCTCACTAACATTGTATCTCTTTTGAGACGACCCCCTTCATTAGTTAGGGATGACACCTTGAAGAAAGATTAAAATCATCACTGATCATGAAATCAATATATCATGAAATCAATATCAAAATCAAATCAAAAATATGACTTTTTTTCGCTTTTGCCAAAACTGCAACATGAACATTTTCTATTAAACATAAATGTTCTATAATTAGTAACATACACATAAAAAGAGGAGGCAAATATACAAGAGAATAAATACTTTAGGTACATATCTTAACTCAAAAAAGTCATGTTGTAATATAACTCCATCATAACCAAAGACTAAAATTTCATGGCATTGAAAGAATTGACAACATGGGAAAATATCAGCTGGTTTTTGAAAATGATCAGGTAAAATCTTGACAGTTCATTATTCTTGGCTTATTAACCACATCTGTCTAACAAGAGTCACCAAAGGCTTACCTTGGTGGTGTTGGGAGCTATTAGCTGACTATTGTCGATTGCTCCTGGTCGAGGGGGTACAGAATTACACGAATGAACATTTTTCTTGCGCAGTTTTGGAGAGGGACTAGGACTGCGATTGGCCACAACCGATTCACCAGGATTTAGACAATGCCTCAGAGGGCTGCTATACACAGAGCTCGAGTTTGAGGCCCGAGGTAAAGTGTGGTTACGAACTTGATTGGTCGCACCACCCAGTTCAGAGTTCGTTCCCTTGGTAACATTGACAACAATCACAGAATCATCATCCCAAGGAAGAGTTTTTGATTGATGCTTTCCTTTAGTAATCCTTTGGTGTACAGGTGAATCAAGGAATGATCCCTTCTCTATACCATTCTGATCCAACAAGCCATTAGCCTCGACAGCCTGTAAATCATACACAGATCATTAAAACACTGGATTATAAACTATTAAATAAGGAATGATCCCTTCTCTATACCATTCTGATCCAACAAGCCATTAGCCTCGACAGCCTGTAAATCATACACAGATCATTAAAACACTGGATTATAAACTATTAAATAAGGAATGATCCCTTCTCTATACCATTCTGATCCAACAAGCCATTAGCCTCGACAGCCTGTAAATCACACACAGATCATTAAAACACTTGGCATCAAATGGATTATGTGAATTGTTAATTCAGTCATTAAAATAAATGATGATACATGTGCAGCTTTAAAGTAATGAGATCACAACATAAGCAAAGTCTGAAAGTAAAAATGTTCATTTAATTGACTAAAAGATTTTAATGTAAATATCTAGGACTAACTGTGCATTCATTAAAATCAATATGCTTTATTCTGAGAAAATATTTTCAGTATTTTATCTTTATTCTCAGGCACATATCAACATTGTCATTGTGATATAAGGTAGACAACTCACCGTAGGACTGACATATTCTACCCAGGAGTTCCACCACTGCATAGCTATCAGGTACCATACTTGTCCCACACGGAACGGTTTCCGTGACTCCCGTGACAGCCAATCACTGTAAAGTGCATTAAATATGATAAATCATATAGATTTCTCTGACAGGATATAATGAAACATGGTCTCAACAGCGTGCTCCTTTTAAACTTTAGAATAAAATAGGTCACAGTGACCAAATTCAACAAAAGAAAACAAAATTATATTTGAATTCCTCTACATAACTAGTCTATAGCACTGAGAAAAAACAAATCACTTACTTGACAATTTTCCCTTCTTCTTCTCTTTTCTGAGGCTTTAGTCCCAATACTATATGACAAATCTGAATAAAGGAACATCAAAAAAATTATTTGATAATTCAAAACATGAACCATGATAACTGTCAGCCAGTTACTCCATCTATAAGTTCCCAATACAAATACAGCTCACAGTTTCATGTCTCTACAAAGGTTATTTTGTCAGGTTTAAACCTAGGAACATCTTCCTACCAAATATCCCGCTTCTCAGACTTTTAGTTGACCAAAATAAGTCTTTTACAGACAAATTTAACCCTATTTGGATTCATCCTAGGAACCTACCTGCAAAATATTGATTAGTCAGAAGAAGCCTGTAAAGGTTTTGATTAATTTGACCTCTCTGACCTTGAGCCAAGGTCATTTCTTTTCACAAGCTTTGCTGGGCTTCATCCAAGTAGCTACCAGCTACATGTCATACGTCTAGTTTCTAGACATTCTGGTTAGTCTGATGATATTGCTTAAAGGTTTTGACTAATTTGAACCCTGTGACTTTGAATATAGGGAAGGTCATTTCTTTTCATACACTTTGTGGAGCTTTATCTGCAAGATCTACCAGCAAAATATCCCGCTTTTTGGGTAATCAGATGATGACATTCAAAGTTTTGGATAATTCTACCCCGTGATTCTTTTCGTTGCAAACATTTTTTAATTCATCCCAGAAACCTACCATCATAATATCTAGTTCTCTGTAAGTCAAAAGAAGTCATACAAAGTTATAAGAAATTTGACCCCTATGACCATGAATATGAGTCAAGGTCATTTCTTTTCGCAAACTTTATTTATTCATGCTTTTAAGTTTTTTGGCTAATCAGAACAAGTCCTTTAAAAGTTTTGACTAATTCAATTCCTATGACTTTGAATTCTGGTGAAGCTCACTTTTTGTGACAAATTTTGTTTGGTTTATCCCTGGGACCTACCGAATATCATGTTTCTAGGCCTTCGGATAATCAGCGTAAGTTGTTTAAAGGTTTTGACAAGTTTGACCCTATGACCCTGAATATAGGTTAAGGGCATTTCTCTGCTTAAACACTGTTGGGCTTCATCCCAGGAACCTATCAGCCAAATACCACAACTCATGATCAATTGCTTACTAAGAAGAAATTGTTTAAATTAAAAACTTGACATTGAACAGATGACAGACACTGCACCACAACATAAGCTTACTTGCCCCTTCAGGCAAGTGATCTAAAAATCAGATTGGATGAGACAAAGACCTGTTTTGTAAGTTAACATAGACTATATATTGAATGGTATGATAAAATAATTGTTCAGTACAGAAGCAACAGATGAAGGCCAAGTTTGATGAGCCTTAGGAAGCTTAAATTGCTGCAAATTTTGTTTCATCTATTTTTAATTTGAACTGTTTCACCAAAAGCTTGATGCACAAGGAATGCAAGCGGGATGTAGTTTTCCTGAAAGTCATGAAATAGACTATTCTTTTCCTTATTAATTTTAGTTTCAAGGTAAAAATAAATTTTAGTTTAAAGGTAATTATCAGTTTGCTCAGTTTTTTTTCCATCCTTGACAACAACAAAATAAACAATTAAAACACATTTCAGTATAGCACCTAGATATTTTTTAACAAGAGGCCCATGGGCCTTAACGGTCATCTGACAAAAAGCAAGCCAAACCTAGAAAGTGGGTTGAGGTCATTCATTTGAACAAACTTGGTAGCCTCTCCTCCAAGCATCTTACAGGCCCAATATCAGCACTCATGGACTTTTGCTTGTTGAGAAGAAGTCGTTTGTATATTTTAACATATTTGACCCCTGTGACCTTGAAAGTGGGTCGAGGTCATTCATTTGAATAAACTTGGTAGCCTTTCCTCCCAGCATGCTACAGACCCAATATCGGCACTCATAGACTTTTGCTTATTGAGATGAAGTCCTTTGTATATTTTAACATATTTGACCCCTGTGACCTTGAAAGTGGGCCAAGGTCATTCATTTGAACAAACTTTGTAGGGCTCCATGCCAGCATGCTATGGGCCAAGTATTAGCCCCCTAGGCCTTCTAGTATTTGAGAAGAAGTTATTTAAAGATTTTAATATATTTGACCCCTGTGACCTTGAAAGTTGTTCAAGGTCATTCATTTGAACAAACTTGATAGCCCTTCATCCCAGCATGCCACAGGCACAATATCAGCAATCTGAGCCTTTTGGTTATTGAGGAGAAGTCGTTTAAAGTTTTAACATATTTGGCCCCTGTGACCTTGAACGTGGGTCAAGGTCATTCACTTGAACAAACTTAATAGCACTTCATCCCAGCATGTCACAGGCCCAATATCTACACTCTGAGCCTTTTGGTTAATGAGAAGAAGTTGTTTAAAGATTTTAACATATTTGACCCCTGTGACCTTTAAAGTGGGTCAAGGTCATTCATTTGAACAAACTTGGTAGAGCTCCATGGCAGTATCCTCTGTGCCATGTATTAGCCCCCTAGACCTTCTAGTATTTGAGAAGAAGTTGTTTGAATGAAAAGTTTACGCACGGCGGATGGTGGACGGCGCACGGCGGACGACGACAGATGAAGCACGATGGATATATAACAAAAGTAGTGAATAATGATCAAGGAATACAGATTCCTCTATCTTGCCTTTCCAGGTGACATACATTCATAGCTTGACACATGATGTGAAAAATTGGGATGATAAGAACAGCTGGCACACTAGTTGTTGACAATACTTACTTGACTAAGGAGATCTAGGAAGTCGTCAGCGAGCGTGTTATTGACTGTCCAAACTAGGTATTCCGCCATCGAGATACAGCCATCCTGTAACATATCAAAGAAAAATTACACTCAAGTCAAATTATACAGCCATCCTGTAACATATTAAAGAAAAGTTACACTCAAGTCAAATTATACAGCCATCCTGTAACATATCAAAGAAAAATTACACTCAAGTCAAATTATACAGCCATCCTGTAACATATCAAAGAAAAGTTACACTCAAGTCAAATTATACAGCCATCCTGTAACATGTTAAAGAAAAATTACACTCAAGTCAAATTATACAGCCATCCTGTAACATATCAAAGAAAAATTACACTCAAGTCAAATTATACAGCCATCCTGTAACATATTAAAGAAAAGTTACACTCAAGTCAAATTATACAATTATTCTGTAACATTTCACCAGAAAATTATACTCAAGTCCAGTTATTATACGATAGTCACTAGAAAATTGTTAGAGTCCAGCCTAGCCTGCATTCATCTTCCTTCAGCCAATTTCAAATTCTGTTCTTTCCTGTACAAAATAGTCTGAAGTGTGATAATGTTTGTGATTATTACCTAATGTTGAACTTTGGATATTTACTTGATCCTATATGGCACTAACATGAATCATTCCATTAGATCGGACATGCTGTCAGTTTTAAGTACCCCTTTCTCGGGTAGTCATGGAATGATTTGGTATAATGATTATAACATATTACACCTTTGTGTGGTGAACGTTGTCTTTCCCTGACAAAACATTACAACAGGTCAATAAACTGCAGACAGATGTAAAGCAGGGTATTAATGCATAGCAAAGTATTTCATTCAACCATTAAAGAAAAAGAATTCCTCATAGAGTACATATTTAGAATAGGAAAAGGTTGTATACTTTCTACTTCACAGAAGACAAGCTGTAGGTTATATAGTATACCAAGATGCTGAAAGATGAGTTCAGGAGTATTTTAGGGTTAGAGAATTCAACTTGTATTTGGGCTATAATATTTTATAAAATAAGAGAATGATATGTAAATGATGATAGAGACATGATGTAATTGGAAGGTTATATTACATATATTGAGATATATATCGTATACATTATGTATATTGTGGGTTTACCTCACGCCTAGTGTGTTCCTCACTATCCTTCTTTAACCCTTGTTTGCTTGTGACTCCCTTCAACATGATTATCAAAACAGGTTACTTATCTGTATAACATCAACATACTAATCATATGTATTATATTGAAATGTGGAGGGTGTATAGTATATGTCTCCCTACCTTATCTGTGTCATGACAGGCTAGAATCTCACTGGCTACCGTATGTGGGTCCATCTTGTGGAACATATCAGCCTCCTGTAAATAGTTAAACAATAGATATACTTCTGATATCGTAATTCTGACTCAAAGTCACAAGTGCATCTTTATCAGGACATTGAAATAGCATTTTGTAAGTTACTCTAATGAACCGAAATGGGTCTGCATGGTTTGTTTTACTGAACATGGGCTTATAGCTCAATATATATAGCATTTTCATTTTAAAAATGATGCAATCTGTCTCTTTGGAAAAGGTATGATGAAAAACTAAATTACAAGTTCATTAATAATGAAAATATTAACACAGTAACATGGTTTGATGAAACAAGAAGGGTTAATATCTATAGGTACACATCTTAGGCGACTCACCAGCTCTGCCACACTGCGGCTCTCAAACCTAATGAGCAGTAAGGCATTCAGCATACATTTCAGTTCTGCATGGTTCAGCTTGTTGTCATGGTTGGCATCAAAAACTTTAAAGCAAACTGGAATATAATAAATAATTGGTTAAAAGTTTAATGTTTTCGTAAATGAATTAAATAAAAGATTAAATAAATAAAAATGAGAAGAGGAACAACTCCTGAAGTCAGGTTTCAAATAGTATTTTCTAATTTCTTCTACAGCTGGTTGTCTTTGGCAGGCCATCATCAGGACACAGCTTACATAGTTGTACATGTAGTAAAGAGTAACATTTCTGTCTGTGTACTGGGACCACGGCAACATGCTGATATAACACAGGCCAAATAATATAACTTACATTTCTGTCTCTGTACTGGGACCACCACAAAACGCTGATATACCACAGGCCCAATAATATAACTTACATTTCTGTCTTTCTGTACTGTGACCACAACAAAACACTGATATACCACAGGCCAAATAATATAACTTACATTTCTGTCTTTCTGTACTGGGACCACAACAAAACACTGATATACCACAGGCCCAATAATATAACTTACATTTCTGTCTTTCTGTACTGGGACCACAACAAATCACAGATATACCACAGGCCAAATAATATAACTTACATTTCTGTCTTTCTGTACTGTGACCACAACAAAACACTGATATACCACAGGCCAAATAATATAACTTACATTTCTGTCTTTCTGTACTGGGACCACAACAAAACACAGATATCCCACAGGCCAAATAATATAACTTACATTTCTGTCTTTCTGTACTGGGACCACAACAAAACACTGATATACCACAGGCCAAATAATATAACTTACATTTCTGTCTTTCTGTACTGGGACCACGGCAACACGCTGATATCCCACAGGCCAAATAATATAACTTACATTTCTGTCTTTCTGTACTGGGACCACGGCAACACGCTGATATCCCACAGGCCAAATAATATAACTTACATTTCTGTCTTTCTGTACTGGGACCACGGCAACACGCTGATATCCCACAGGCCCAATAATATAACTTACATTTCTGTCTTTCTGTACTGGGACCACGGCAACACGCTGATATCCCACAGGCCAAATAATATAACTTACATTTCTGTCTTTCTGTACTGGGACCACGGCAACACGCTGATATCCCACAGGCCAAATAATATAACTTACATTTCTGTCTTTCTGTACTGGGACCACGGCAACACGCTGATATCCCACAGGCCAAATAATATAACTTACATTTCTGTCTCTGTACTGAGACCATGGCAACACGCTGATATCCCACAGGCCAAATAATATAACTTACATTTCTGTCTTTCTGTACTGGGACCACGGCAACACGCTGATATATCACAGGCCAAATAATATAACTTACATTTCTGTCTTTCTGTACTGGGACCACAACAAAACACTGATATCCCACAGGCCAAATAATATAACTTACATTTCTGTCTTTCTGTACTGGGACCACGGCAACACGCTGATATCCCACAGGCCAAATAATATAACTTACATTTCTGTCTTTCTGTACTGGGACCACGGCAACACGCTGATATCCCACAGGCCAAATATTATAACTTACCTTTGTGTCTTTCTGTACTGGGACCACGGCAACACGCTGATATCCCACAGGCCAAATAATATAACTTACATTTCTGTCTTTCTGTACTGGGACCACGGCAACACGCTGATATCCCACAGGCCAAATAATATAACTTACATTTCTGTCTTTCTGTACTGGGACCACGGCAACACGCTGATATCCCACAGGCCAAATAATATAACTTACATTTCTGTCTTTCTGTACTGGGACCACGGCAACACGCTGATATCCCACAGGCCAAATAATATAACTTACATTTCTGTCTTTCTGTACTGGGACCACGGCAACACGCTGATATCCCACAGGCCAAATAATATAACTTACATTTCTGTCTTTCTGTACTGGGACCACGGCAACACGCTGATATCCCACAGGCCAAATAATATAACTTACATTTCTGTCTTTCTGTACTGGGACCACGGCAACACGCTGATATCCCACAGGCCAAATAATATAACTTACATTTCTGTCTTTCTGTACTGGGACCACGGCAACACGCTGATATCCCACAGGCCAAATAATATAACTTACATTTCTGTCTTTCTGTACTGGGACCACGGCAACACGCTGATATCCCACAGGCCAAATAATATAACTTACATTTCTGTCTTTCTGTACTGGGACCACGGCAACACGCTGATATACCACAGGCCAAATAATATAACTTACATTTCTGTCTTTCTGTACTGGGACCACGGCAACACGCTGATATCCCACAGGCCAAATAATATAACTTACATTTCTGTCTTTCTGTACTGGGACCACGGCAACACGCTGATATCCCACAGGCCAAATAATATAACTTACATTTCTGTCTTTCTGTACTGGGACCACGGCAACACGCTGATATCCCACAGGCCAAATAATATAACTTACATTTCTGTCTTTCTGTACTGGGACCACGGCAACACGCTGATATCCCACAGGCCAAATAATATAACTTACATTTCTGTCTTTCTGTACTGGGACCACGGCAACACGCTGATATCCCACAGGCCAAATAATATAACTTACATTTCTGTCTTTCTGTACTGGGACCACGGCAACACGCTGATATCCCACAGGCCAAATAATATAACTTACATTTCTGTCTTTCTGTACTGGGACCACGGCAACACGCTGATATCCCACAGGCCAAATAATATAACTTACATTTCTGTCTTTCTGTACTGGGACCACGGCAACACGCTGATATCCCACAGGCCAAATAATATAACTTACATTTCTGTCTTTCTGTACTGGGACCACGGCAACACGCTGATATCCCACAGGCCAAATAATATAACTTACATTTCTGTCTTTCTGTACTGGGACCACGGCAACACGCTGATATCCCACAGGCCAAATAATATAACTTACATTTCTGTCTTTCTGTACTGGGACCACGGCAACACGCTGATATCCCACAGGCCAAATAATATAACTTACATTTCTGTCTTTCTGTACTGGGACCACGGCAACACGCTGATATCCCACAGGCCAAATAATATAACTTACATTTCTGTCTTTCTGTACTGGGACCACGGCAACACGCTGATATCCCACAGGCCAAATAATATAACTTACATTTCTGTCTTTCTGTACTGGGACCACGGCAACACGCTGATATCCCACAGGCCAAATAATATAACTTACATTTCTGTCTTTCTGTACTGGGACCACGGCAACACGCTGATATCCCACAGGCCGAATAATATAACTTACATTTCTGTCTTTCTGTACTGGGACCACGGCAACACGCTGATATCCCACAGGCCGAATAATATAACTTACATTTCTGTCTTTCTGTACTGGGACCACGGCAACACGCTGATATCCCACAGGCCAAATAATATAACTTACATTTCTGTCTTTCTGTACTGGGACCACGGCAACACGCTGATATCCCACAGGCCAAATAATATAACTTACATTTCTGTCTTTCTGTACTGGGACCACGGCAACACGCTGATATCCCACAGGCCAAATAATATAACTTACATTTCTGTCTTTCTGTACTGGGACCACGGCAACACGCTGATATCCCACAGGCCAAATAATATAACTTACATTTCTGTCTTTCTGTACTGGGACCACGGCAACACGCTGATATACCACAGGCCATCTCTTTAAAATCAATGTGATTGTCACGGTTCTCATCAAACGCCATGAACAGACCTGTAGAGAACAATGTTGTTGAGAAAAACTTGAGTATTTGCATGGAATATTGAAGTTAGTGTCACAATGGCAAATTACCATTTGGTACCTACAAACTGCTGCCTGAAGCTGTCACTAGAATTCTGTCTTAGGAGAGATTATCAAGCACCAGTCAATAATCACTCTAACTATTTTTTCTTATAAAACATTCTGTTGTTATTTGACCAAATATTAACCTGGTATAGTTAAAATCAACACAATTCATAAAACAATGAATTATTTACCAATACTTTATATAAATGGCCAGCTGTTCAATGTTATCTATTGAGAGCTTTTACAAAACAGATTTGATTATTCCACCTTCATGATTTATAGGCAAATTTGAAGTGAGAAATTTGGAGAAACTTTGGTTTTCTACTTCCATCATCATAAATGGAAATAATTTCCCCTGAGCCCGTACCTTCACACACAGATTCAGGCACCGGCGGACACACTAGTGCCCGAAACGTTTCAAGGTCAAACTTGCCACTCTTGGATTGTGACTTTAAAACCCAGTAGCGTTTGTCAAGTTCACTGATGTCATCCTCCTCCACTGTTAAAAAACAAAACAGAGACAGATCACCTTGATTTCATTATGAATATCATAGTGCCTTCATTAGTCAAGGAAATGCTGACAATATAATGAAAGCCCCACTCCTTCACTAACTGCAGTAGAATTTTTAGATAAAAACAAAAAAAACCAAGGTAGAAATTAAACTTATAGACATTTATCAATGTGGTAAATGCAGAAGGAGGCATTTCATGTGTTTATCATTTTTGGTAAAATAAATTGAAATTCTAGTAACTTTTACATTTTGATATCACTATGTAACTACATACGGTGGGTGACCCCAGCCAGAGTTTGGTAAAAGGTGGGCGTATCTGTGTCGTTGGACAGGGATATTGTCATTGGCTCCATGAGCAACCATTTTGTAATGATGGTAGCATCAGGATGGTGATACAGCCATGACCGGAACTGGTCAAATCCAACCTGGTCACTCTGAAAGCAGAAATTTTTTATTCAAATATAACATGATTTTGCATGCAATTAAAATATATCACAGACAATTGATTGAAATATGCATATCAAAGACAACTGATTGAAATATACAAATCAAAGACAACTGATTAAAATATACAAATCACAGACAACTGACTGAAATATACATATCACAGACAACTGATTGAAATATACAAATCAAAGACAACTGATTGAAATATACAAATCAAAGACAACTGATTAAAATATACAAATCACAGACAACTGATTGAAATATACATATCACAGACAACTGATTGAAATCTACATTTCACAGACAACTGACTGAAATATACATATCACAGACAACTGATTGAAATATACAAATTACAGACAACTGATTGAAATCTACATTTCACAGACAACTGATTGAAATCTACATTTCACAGACAACTGATTGAAATCTACAAATTACAGACAACTGATTGAAATATACATATCACAGACAACTGATTGAAATATACAAATTACAGACAACTGATTGAAATATACAAATCAAAGACAACTGATTAAAATATACAAATCACAGACAACTGACTGAAATATACATATCACAGACAACTGATTGAAATATACAAATCACAGACAACTGATTGAAATCTACATTTCACAGACAACTGATTGAAATCTACATTTCACAGACAACTGATTGAAATCTACAAATCACAGACAACTGACTGAAATATACATATCACAGACAACTGATTGAAATATACAAATCACAGACAACTGATTGAAATCTACATTTCACAGACAACTGATTGAAATATACAAATCACAGACAACTGATTGAAATATACATATCACAGACAACTGACTGAAATATACATATCACAGACAACTGATTGAAATCTACATTTCACAGACAACTGATTGAAATATACAAATCACAGACAATCAAACATACATAAACTTATAATAATCTATTCTAAACCGTATCATAATTGTGTCTCTGTCAACTAAAATCAAAAACTAATTAAATCATGATGCAATTAAACAGACATCAATTTCTTGTGTATTCTCATGAATATTAAAATGTCAAACTCATTTACATATACACATGAAAGGAACTTGCAAATTTGTCAATATGAATATGGATGAGAAACCACCAACATACCATTTAATTGTCAGTAAACCACTGTATATTTTTTGATACAATCTCAACATTGGCAAATACAGGCCATATAAAGGTTATAGAAAAGACACACAAGTGAATAGCACCTTTAATACAAATGTAATGTTAGATACAGTAGTGCCAAACAATGAAGTAAACTGCATCATACAGCTGTTTTATCCTTCTAGGACTTGTCAGTGATGTTAAGGGCCTAAATTTTGAAGCATAGGAGGTGCCTTAGGAAAATCCAAAGCAATTGAAATTAAAGTCAAAATCTAGATTGGGAGGTGCACTAGTACTGTAGTTAAATAAACTTCTTAATTTTCATATATCTGCCACCATTCAAATGAACTAAAGTAAGGTTAAAGAGTAGAAATCATATGAATAGGAGTCTAAAACATGTGTAGTACTGAGTGGTTGGTTTAATTGCTGGTACATATAAACTGAAAAGTAAGCAAAGTTATATTGGTGTTGTTGGTTCTACTTCCTCATGTATTCAATAATAAACAGCAGTTATCCCTCAACAAACATAAACAAACCAAAAACTATCTGCTCCTGTGATGCAATATTGATCCACAAATAACCAAATTGATTCAATGAACTAGTCCACAAATCTAACAAAACATTACTGAAAATATAACAAACAGCCAGCAGACCTGCCATCAAGTCAGCCATCAGACAGCCACCATGACAGCCATCAGGCCAGCCACCAAGTCAGCCATCAGACAGCCACCATGACAGCCATCAGACCAGCCACCATGACAGCCAGCAGACCTGCCAGCAGACCTGGCACCATGACAGCCATCAGACCAGCCACCATGACAGCCATCAGACCAGCCACCATGACAGCCAGCAGGCCAGCCACCAAGTCAGCCATCAGACAGCCACCATGACAGCCATCAGACCAGCCACCATGACAGCCAGCAGACCTGGCATCACGACAGCCAGCAGACCAGCCACCATGACAGCCAGCAGACCTGCCACTGTGACAGCCATCAGACCAGCCACCATGACAGCCAGCAGACCTGGCACCAGGACAGCCAGCAGACCAGTCACCATGACAGCCAGCAGACCAGTCACCATGACAGCCATCAGACAGTCACCATGACAGCCATCAGACCTGGCACCATGACAGCCAGCAGACCTGGCACCATGACAGCCATCAGACCTGGCATCATGACAGCCAGCAGACCTGGCAATATGATAGCCATCAGACCTGGCATCATGGCAGCTAGCACACCAGCCACCATGACAGCCAGCAGACCTGGCACTATGAACCATCATAGCCAACATTTCCTGATGCAAAGATAGTGGGTGGGCTTATTACAGGACAGTTCACCCACAAATCAGACAAAACACACCAGACAGCATAACAGCCAGGAAACCTGGTACAATAACAGTTATCAGACACAATTATAACCAACAATCCCTGATTCATAGTTAGAGGGTGGGCTTATTACAGGATATGAATTAGCACTTACTTGGAATTATACTGAACGGTAGTGGATAAATGTGCCCTTATTAACAGACTCGACTTCTTGTTGTATAAATACAGTCTCATTAAACCATTGATCAAACAAAGAGTCCTCAGAAGAAAAAAATGTTTTTTTTTGAAAAATCAGACTTCTGATGTTTAATTAGTTATATCAGCTGTTTAGATTCTACTTTAGTTATGTATTGCACCAAGTACTGAATTAAAACCTCAACCAAGTTCATCAAATGTAAATAGAAAACTGCTATCAGAGTCGGAAATAAGAATGCTGAACACAATATGCCTTAACATAGGGGTCTCCTGGTATTGTAGTTCTCCACTAGATTTCCCAGGGGTTAGTACCGTGTTAAAAATCTTCATTAGCACACTAATATTATTATACCAAACCTACCCTCAAGCAAACTCTGTTGTCATTTTAAAATATATTGGGTTCAGAACACAGCAAAAATGTTACCATATAGTATTATATGTGTAGAAACAATGCCATCCCATTATCCCAAACTATTTGGATGTCAGTTGAATAAATGTGATTATTTGAATTTTAAAAGCTTCTAAAAATATCTTCTGAATCATCATACACAACAAAATCAAAAGCTTTCAGCACTGCTCATTTATTATAGCAAATTTGAATTTGTAAACAAATTTTTAAAACCATGTCTTAGTAAAAATATGAACACATATTTTCCTATTTTTGTACAAATATTTCCAACAAATCTTTTTCTATTTTTTGTACTCTTTACTTTGAATATTTTCCAGCTTTTTGTGAAACTATTTTCCTTTTTTTGGTATGTCATTCTTATACATTATTATATTTGTATATGATAATTTACTTTCCGAGCTGAAATGAGTAAGTAATTAGAAACTAATTTCAATGAATTAAGAAATAATGCAGTTACTTTGTCAAAGGGTATAGACTTAAAACACACAGAAGGTTAATCTACATCATGCTGATAAGGGGATGGTTATGTCAAGACAAAGAGATCTTATAGCCAACTTCAGTAGCAGGGACACTAACATCCTGGAAAAGGCTGGAATTTAAGGGCATTTACAATAACGAATGGAGGATCTTAATTCACAAGTGCGGCTCTTACAGGGAATTTAGATAGCAGAGAAACATACATCATGGACAAGGTTTGAATGTTGAAAGCAGCTTGAGAGGCATAATAATCTCTAAAACAGCTTCCTCAAGCGAAATATCTCACAAGGAACTTAGATAAAAAATCAAGATTACTTCCTTTAAGATAGAGCTCTGACAGGAAGCTAAAAAAGTTTGTTAACCCCATGGACTATTGGTGCAGCTTAACTGAAGAAGAGGTCTGATAAGGTAGTAGAACAAGCTTTAAAGAGGCTTAACAAGCTCAGAGGAGCTTACCTCAAGAAAGAGGTCCAATGAGAGTATAGAAATAGTATTAGATGAGCTTATTTCTGGGAATAGGTTTGATGAGAATATAAAAATAGCCTTCAAAGAGCTTGCTTCCAGGAATATATTAAATGAGGTTATGAAATAGCATTAGAAGAGGTCATCTCAAGGAAGAGGTCTGATGAGGGCGTAGAATAAGCTTAGAGGAGCTTATCTCAAGGAAAAGGTCTGATGAGGGGTATAGAACAAGCTCTACCAAAGTCAACCCTAAGACAAAGGTCTGATGAAGGGCGTAGAATAAGCTTAGAGGAGCTTATCTCAAGAAAAAGGTCTGATGCAAGGTTTAAAACAAACTCTTCAGAAGTTTACCTCAAGGAAAAGGTCTGATAATGCTGTTGATACTTGTCCCTCTGTCTCCAATATCCGTCTATCCATATCATCTTTCTGGACATACGTATAGGATTCATCAGCATACATCCCAAATATCACTGCAAACAAAGAGTACATAACATATAGAGGTAGTTTATAGTCAACAACTAAAACATACTAAATTTATTTCTAGATAAATTCTAACTAATAAGGATATATTGATATCTATCTCAAAATAGGCAACTATACCTTACTAAAAGAAATAATTTTACATCTGTATAAACCCTATATCACAGTAAGAAAATAGGTCTAAGCTAACTAATAAAAGTATATTATGTGTAAATTGTCACCAGACCACCTCTAATCTACGTTGATCATTGTTATCTGTTTTCAGACAGGCACAGGAGACCCAAAGATTACCATTCAATAAATGTAAACAAAATCATTGCATGACAACAATTCTCCAATACCTACATTTGATTTTATCTTCCTTGGAACCTTTGGTGATGATGACTAATCCAGTCAGAAGGTCTTTCAAAGACATTCCTTTTGAAGTCCCTCCAAATCCCTTATACAGCAGCTGTTAAAGAAACATATATACATTGAAAAACAATGTAACTAATGACATACAGTGTATAAGTATACATGTATTGGCTAATGTTACAAATTAACTAGCTTACAGTACAGCAGCTGTTACAGGTGACTAATACAGGTTACAGTACAGCAGCTGTTACAGGTGACTATTACAGTTTACAGTACAGCAGCTGTTACAGGTGACTATTACAGTTTACAGTACAGTAGCTGTAACAAGTGACGATAACAGTTTACAGTACAGCAGCTGTTACAGGTGACTATTACAGTTTACAGTACAACAGCTGTTTTAGGTGACTATTACAGTTTACAGTACAGCAGCTGTTACAGGTGACTATTACAGTTTACAGTACAGTAGCTGTAACAAGTGACGATAACAGTTTACAGTACAGCAGCTGTTACAGGTGACTATTACAGTTTACAGTACAACAGCTGTTTTAGGTGACTATTACAGTTTACAGTACAGCAGCTGTTACAGGTGACTATAACAGTTTACAGTACAGCTGCTGTTATAGGTGACTATAACAGTTTACAGTACAACAGCTGTTACAGATGACTATTACAGTTTACAGTACAACAGCTGTTTTAGGTGACTATTACAGTTTACAGTACAGCAGCTGTTACAGGTGACTATAACAGTTTACAGTACAGCTGCTGTTATAGGTGACTATAACAGTTTACAGTACAACAGCTGTTACAGGTGAATATTACAGTTTACAGTACAACAGCTGTTACATGTGACTATAACAGTTTACAGTACAACAGCTGTTACAGGTGACTATTACAGTTTACAGTACAACAGCTGTTACAGGTGACTATTACAGTTTACAGTACAACAGCTGTTACAGGTGACTAGTACAGTTTACAGTACAGCAGCTGTTACAGGTGACTATTACAGTTTACAGTACAACAGCTGTTACAGGTGACTATTACAGTTTACAGTACAGCAGCTGTTACAGGTGACTATTACAGTTTACAGTACAACAGCTGTCATAGGTTACTATTACAGTTTACAGTACAGCAGCTGTTATAGGTGACTTATTACAGTTTACAGTACAACTACTGTTACAGATGACTATTACAGTTTACAGTACAACAGCTGTTACAGGTGACTATTACAGTTTACAGTACACCAGCTGTTACAGGTGACTATTACAGTTTACAGTACAACAGCTGTCATAGGTTACTATTACAGTTTACAGTACAGCAGCTGTTATAGGTGACTTATTACAGTTTACAGTACAACTGCTGTTACAGATGACTATTACAGTTTACAGTACAACTGCTGTTACAGGTGACTATTACAGTTTACAGTACAGCAGCTGTTACAGGTGACTATTACAGTTTACAGTACAGCAGCTGTTACAGGTGAATATTACAGTTTACAGTACAACAGCTGTTAGAGATGAGGATTACAGTTTACAGTACAGCAGCTGTTACAGGTGACTATTACAGTTTACAGTACAACAGCTGTTACATGTGACTATTACAGTTTACAGTACAACAGCTGTCACAGGTGACTATTACAGTTTACAGTACAGCAGCTGTTACAGGTGACTAGTACAGTTTACAGTACAACAGCTGTTACAGGTGACTAGTACAGTTTACAGTACAACAGCTGTTACAGGTGACTATTACAGTTTACAGTACAACAGCTGTTACAGGTGACTATTACAGTTTACAGTACAGCAGCTGTTACAGGTGACTAGTACAGTTTACAGTACAACAGCTGTTACAGGTGACTATTATGGTTTACAGTACAACAGCTGTTACATGTGACTATTACAGTTTACAGTACAGCAGCTGTTACAGGTGACTATTACAGTTTACAGTACAGCAGCTGTTACAGGTGACTAGTACAGTTTACAGTACAGCAGCTGTTACAGGTGAATATTACAGTTTACAGTACAACAGCTGTTACAGGTGACTATAACAGTTTACAGTACAGCAGCTGTTACAAGTGACTATTACAGTTTACAGTACAGCAGCTGTTACAGGTGACTATTACAGTTTACAGTACAGCAGCTGTTACAGGTGACTAGTACAGTTTACAGTACAACAGCTGTTATAGGTGACTATAACAGTTTACAGTACAGCAGCTGTTACAAGTGACTATTACAGTTTACAGTACATCAGCTGTTACAGGTGACTAGTACAGTTTATAGTACAACAGCTGTTACAGGTGACTATTACAGTTTACAGTACAACAGCTGTTACAGGTGACTAGTACAGTTTACAGTACAACAGCTGTTACAGGTGACTATTACAGTTTACAGTACAGCAGCTGTTACAGGTGACTATTACAGTTTACAGTACAACAGCTGTTACAGGTGACTAGTACAGTTTACAGTACAGCAGCTGTTACAGGTGACTATAACACTTTACAGTACAGCAGCTGTTACAGGTGACTATTACAGTTTACAGTGCAGCAGCTGTTACAGGTGACTATTACCGTTTACAGTACAACAGCTGTTACAGGTGACTATAACACTTTACAGTACAGCAGCTGTTACAAGTGACTATTACAGTTTACAGTACAACAGCTGTTACAGGTGACTATAACAGTTTACAGTACAGCAGCTGTTACAGGTGAATATTACAGTTTACAGTACAGCAGCTGTTACAGGTGACTATTACAGTTTACAGTACAACAGCTGTTACAGGTGACTATTACAGTTTACAGTACAGCAGCTGTTACAGGTGACTATAACAGTTTACAGTACAACAGCTGTTACAGGTGACTATTACAGTTTACAGTACAACAGCTGTTACATGTGACTATAACAGTTTACAGTACAGCAGCTGTTACAGGTGACTATAACAGTTTACAGTACAGCAGCTATTACAGGTGACTATTACAGTTTACAGTACAACAGCTGTTACATGTGAATATAACAGTTTACAGTACAGTAGCTGTAACAAGTGACTATAACAGTTTACAGTACAACAGCTGTTACAGGTGACTATAACAGTTTACAGTACAACAGCTGTTAGAGATGAGGATTACAGTTTACAGTACAGCAGCTGTTACAGGTGAATATTACAGTTTACAGTACAGCAGCTGTTACAGGTGACTATTACAGTTTACAGTACAACAGCTGTTACAGGTGAATATTACAGTTTACAGTACAACAGCTGTTACAGGTGACTATTACAGTTTACAGTACAACAGCTGTTACATGTGACTATTACAGTTTACAGTACAACAGCTGTCACAGGTGACTATTACAGTTTACAGTACAGCAGCTGTTACAGGTGACTAGTACAGTTTACAGTACAACAGCTGTTACAGGTGACTAGTACAGTTTACAGTACAACAGCTGTTACAGGTGACTATTACAGTTTACAGTACAACAGCTGTTACAGGTGACTATTACAGTTTACAGTACAGCAGCTGTTACAGGTGACTAGTACAGTTTACAGTACAACAGCTGTTACAGGTGACTATTATGGTTTACAGTACAACAGCTGTTACATGTGACTATTACAGTTTACAGTACAGCAGCTGTTACAGGTGACTATTACAGTTTACAGTACAGCAGCTGTTACAGGTGACTAGTACAGTTTACAGTACAGCAGCTGTTACAGGTGAATATTACAGTTTACAGTACAACAGCTGTTACAGGTGACTATAACAGTTTACAGTACAGCAGCTGTTACAAGTGACTATTACAGTTTACAGTACAGCAGCTGTTACAGGTGACTATTACAGTTTACAGTACAGCAGCTGTTACAGGTGACTAGTACAGTTTACAGTACAACAGCTGTTATAGGTGACTATAACAGTTTACAGTACAGCAGCTGTTACAAGTGACTATTACAGTTTACAGTACATCAGCTGTTACAGGTGACTAGTACAGTTTATAGTACAACAGCTGTTACAGGTGACTATTACAGTTTACAGTACAACAGCTGTTACAGGTGACTAGTACAGTTTACAGTACAACAGCTGTTACAGGTGACTATTACAGTTTACAGTACAGCAGCTGTTACAGGTGACTATTACAGTTTACAGTACAACAGCTGTTACAGGTGACTATTACAGTTTACAGTACAGCAGCTGTTACAGGTGACTATAACACTTTACAGTACAGCAGCTGTTACAGGTGACTATTACAGTTTACAGTGCAGCAGCTGTTACAGGTGACTATTACAGTTTACAGTACAACAGCTGTTACAGGTGACTATAACACTTTACAGTACAGCAGCTGTTACAAGTGACTATTACAGTTTACAGTACAACAGCTGTTACAGGTGACTATAACAGTTTACAGTACAGCAGCTGTTACAGGTGAATATTACAGTTTACAGTACAGCAGCTGTTACAGGTGACTATTACAGTTTACAGTACAACAGCTGTTACAGGTGACTATTACAGTTTACAGTACAGCAGCTGTTACAGGTGACTATAACAGTTTACAGTACAACAGCTGTTACAGGTGACTATTACAGTTTACAGTACAGCAGCTGTTACAGGTGACTATAACAGTTTACAGTACAGCAGCTGTTACAGGTGACTATAACAGTTTACAGTACAGCAGCTGTTACAGGTGACTATTACAGTTTACAGTACAACAGCTGTTACATGTGACTATAACAGTTTACAGTACAGTAGCTGTAACAAGTGACTATAACCGTTTACAGTACAACAGCTGTTACAGGTGACTATAACAGTTTACAGTACAACAGCTGTTAGAGATGAGGATTACAGTTTACGGTACAGCAGCTGTTACAGGTGAATATTACAGTTTACAGTACAGCAGCTGTTACAGGTGACTATTACAGTTTACAGTACAACAGCTGTTACAGGTGAATATTACAGTTTACAGTACAACAGCTGTTACAGGTGAATATTACAGTTTACAGTACAACAGATAGGAAAAGTTTTATCTCTAGCTTCAAACCCAAAAGAGATATCAGGAAAAAAAATAATAATTGAGAACTAAATGTCCTAAAGCTCTCATGATCAGCTGCATGCCTTCTATTCAAGAACTTTCTGTAAATGTCAAGGTCAAAGAGCTGATAAGCCCACAAGGCAATATAATACATGATACTGTATTATTACCAGGTTAGTTTCTAAAAAATCCTTGAAAGATATTGATAAAATGAAAGAAATGGATACAAGATCATTGTAACTGGGCAACATACATGACAGACAACATGTGATAAACAAGTAAAATAAACATTTGGCATTTCATAACAATACAAAAAAAGGAGTCAATTTCATGGAGAATCTCAACTACAGCAAATTGCCATCACTAACAAACTAACATGGCACTCCCAGGCGAGATCAATAAATCGCTTCATCAACTTATGACAGTGCTATTTGATCAGGCCTATTACTTTATTGCTAGAACTGGATGTTGGGGAGGCAGGATGACTCTCTCTCTATATATATACATGTCAGTCTTCTACTACATGACTATTCCCACAGTGATTATAAATGTCACATGACCTTTTTCTAGGCTATCTTTACATCAAATTGGATAAAAATTAGACAGGGATATCTTTTCCTCATAATCAAAGTAGATAATCCTTAGCTAGTCTGTAAGTCAGAGACCTGTCTCTCTATGTATCAAAGGTAAATGATTCCTAGCCGGTCAGTGTGACTTTAGTCAGCGACCTGTCTCCTTAGATATCAAAGTAGATAACCTCTAACCAGTCAGTGTGACTTTAGTCAGCGACCTGTCTCCTTAGATATCAAATTAGATAATCTCTAACCAGTCAGTGTGACTTAAGTCAGAGACCTGTCTCCTTAGATATCAAAGTAGATAATCTCTAGTCAGTCAGTGTGACCTATGTCAGAGACCTGTCTCTCTATATATCAAAAGTAGATAATCTCTAGCCAGTCAGTGTGACCTCAGTCAGAGACCTGTCTCTCTATATATCAAAGTAGATAACCTCTAACCAGTCAGTGTGACTTTAGTCAGAGACCTGTCTCTCTATATATCAAAGTAGATAATCTCTAGCCAGTCAGTGTGACTTTAGTCAGCGACCTGTCTCCTTAGATATCAAAGGTAGATAATCTCTAGTCAGTCAGTGTGACCTATGTCAGAGACCTGTCTCCTTAGATATCAAAGTAGATAATCTCTAGCCAGTCAGTGTGACTTAAGTCAGAGACCTGTCTCCCTATATATCAAAGTAGATAACCTCTAACCAGTCAGTGTGACTTTAGTCAGCGACCTGTCTCCCTATATATCAAAGTAGATAATCTCTAGCCAGTCAGTGTGACCTAAGTCAGAGACCTGTCTCTCTATATATCAAAGTAGATAATCTCTAGCCAGTCAGTGTGACTTAAGTCAGACACCTGTCTCCCTATATATCAAAGTAGATAATCTCTAACCAGTCAGTGTGACTTTAGTCAGCGACCTGTCTCCTTAGATATCAAAGTAGATAATCTCTAGCCAGTCAGTGTGACCTCAGTCAGAGACCTGTCTCTCTATATATCAAAGTAGATAATCTCTAGCCAGTCAGTGTGACTTTAGTCAGTGACCTGTCTCCTTAGATATCAAAGTAGATAATCTCTAGCCAGTCAGTGTGACTTAAGTCAGACACCTGTCTCTCTATATATCAAATGTAGATAATCTCTAACCAGTCAGTGTGACTTAAGTCAGAGACCTGTCTCCCTATATATCAAAGTAGATAATCTCTAACCAGTCAGTGTGACTTAAGTCAGAGACCTGTCTCCCTATATATCAAATGTAGATAATCTCTAACCAGTCAGTGTGACTTAAGTCAGAGACCTGTCTCTCTATATATCAAAAGTAGATAATCTCTAACCAGTCAGTGTGACTTTAAGTCAGACACCTGTCTCCCTATATATCAAAGTAGATAATCTCTAACCAGTCAGTGTGACTTTAAGTCAGAGACCTGTCTCCTTAGATATCAAAGTAGATAATCTCTAGCCAGTCAGTGTGACTTTAGTCAGAGACCTGTCTCTCTATATATCAAATGTAGATAATCTCTAACCAGTCAGTGTGACTTTGGTCAGTGACCTGTCTCCTTAGATATCAAAGTAGATAATCTCTAGCCAGTCAGTGTGACTTAAGTCAGAGACCTGTCTCTCTATATATCAAAGAAGATAATCTCTAACCAGTCAGTGTGACTTTAGTCAGCGACCTGTCTCCTTAGATATCAAAGTAGATAATCTCTAGCCAGTCAGTGTGACTTTAGTCAGCGACCTGTCTCCTTAGATATCAAAGTAGATAATCTCTAGCCAGTCAGTGTGACTTTAAGTCAGACACCTGTCTCTCTATATATCAAATGTAGATAATCTCTAACCAGTCAGTGTGACTTTAAGTCAGAGACCTGTCTCTCTATATATCAAAGAAGATAATCTCTAACCAGTCAGTGTGACTTTAAGTCAGAGACCTGTCTCCTTAGATATCAAATTAGATAATCTCTAACCAGTCAGTGTGACTTTAAGTCAGAGACCTGTCTCTCTAGATATCAAAGTAGATAATCTCTAGCCAGTCAGTGTGACTTTAAATCAGAGACCTGTCTCCCTATATATCAAAGAAGATAATCTCTAACCAGTCAGTGTGACTTTAAGTCAGAGACCTGTCTCCTTAGATATCAAAGTAGATAATCTCTAGCCAGTCAGTGTGACTTAAGTCAGAGACCTGTCTCCTATATATCAAAGTAGATAATCTCTAAGTGTGACTTTAAGTCAGAGACCTGTCTCCCTATATATCAAAAGTAGATAATCAGTCAGTGTGTGACTTTAAGTCAGTATAATCTCTAGACCTGTCTCCTCTATATATCAAATGTAGATAATCTCTAACCAGTCAGTGTGACTTTGGTCAGTGACCTGTCTCCTTAGATATCAAAGTAGATAATCTCTAGCCAGTCAGTGTGACTTAAGTCAGAGACCTGTCTCCCTATATATCAAAGTAGATAATCTCTAACCAGTCAGTGTGACTTAAGTCAGAGACCTGTCTCCCTATATATCAAAGTAGATAATCTCTAACCAGTCAGTGTGACTTTAGTCAGACACCTGTCTCTCTATATATCAAAGTAGATAATCTCTAACCACCTGTGACTTAAGTCAGAGACCTCTCCTATATATCAAAGTAGATAATCTCTAGCCAGTCAGTGTGACTTTAGTCAAAGTACCTGATAATCTCTAACCAGTCAGTGTGAGATAATCTCTAGCCAGTCAGTGTGACTTAAGTCAGACACCTGTCTCTCTATATATCAAAGTAGATAATCTCTAGCCAGTCAGTGTGACCTAAGTCAGACACCTGTCTCCCTAGATATCAAAGTAGATAATCTCTAACCAGTCAGTGTGACTTTAGTCAGCGACCTGTCTCTCTATATATCAAAAGTAGATAATCTCTAACCAGTCAGTGTGACTTTAGTCAGCGACCTGTCTCCTTAGATATCAAAGGTAGATAATCTCTAGTCAGTCAGTGTGACTTAAGTCAGACACCTGTCTCCCTATATATCAAAGTAGATAATCTCTAACCAGTCAGTGTGACTTTAGTCAGACACCTGTCTCTCTATATATCAAAGTAGATAATCTCTAACCAGTCAGTGTGACCTATGTCAGAGACCTGTCTCTCTATATATCAAAGATAGACAATCCCTTGACATTCAAAATGATCAGATGATATCAGCCAAACAATCTAGAACTAAGACATTTTTTATTTGAATTTAAATTGTTGAAGAGAAAATACTAAAAATTAGAGGTACCGATAAAATAATTGCATAAGATGCATGTAAAGCGAGGCCACATATTGACAATTAAACATGATATAGCCAAGTATACAGCAGAAATGGATATCCTTCTTCATATTTGTGTCCTTAAACTGGAACAGAGTTGGAATACTGGTATATCATGCTGTCGGGAGATGGTATTGACCCAAGTAACAAGTGGCCTGTCTAAGCAAAATTTAACTGTGAATGATTGTATGATTCTGGGCATGCTTGGTCATGTTAACCATCTAGAATGAGGCATGTTGTTCCGTTAGTTACAGTGGCAATCTAGTAGATTTATTCCTGAGAGATTATCACATACAACAGTACCACTGATAAGTAGAACAAAGTAGTATATGGGTGGTAGGTGCCTGAGGAGGGACATCTAATTCATTCCTATAAAGAAGCTACAGGGAATGTCAGTGCAGTAAAGGTTTTTCATGGCAGATTTATTTTCATTTTGATTTCGTTGGTACTTTAATGAATTCATATTTAAGTCTACCAATCAATATAAAGTGTTGAATTCCCTGCCCTAACTCAGATATGTACTGGCCCTGTTGAACTGTTTCTAGCCATAACATGGCCATGTACAGGCCCTGTTTACCTGTTTCCAGCTCTATCTTAGATATGTACAGGTCCTGTTGACATCTTTCCAGCCCTATCTTAGATATGTACAGGCCCTGTTTACCTGTTTCCAGCTCTATCTTAGACATGTACAGGTCCTGTTGACATCTTTCCAGCCCTATCTTAGATATGTACAGGCCCTGTTGACCTGTTTCCAGTCATATCTTAGATATGTACAGGTCCTGTTGACCTCTTTCCAGTCATATCTTAGATATGTACAGGCCCTGTTGACCTCTTTCCAGCCCTATCTTAGACATGTACAGGTCCTGTTGTCATGTTTCCAGCTCTATCTTAGACATGTACAAGCCCAGTTGACCTGTTTCCAGCCATAACATTGACATATACAGGCCCTGTTGACCTGTTTGCAGTCCTATCTTAGACATGTACAAGCTCTGTTGAAATGTTTACCTGGCCTGTTTCCAGCCATAACATTGACATGTACAGGCCTTAATGAACTGTTCACCTGGCCTGTTTCCAGCCATGACATTGACATGTACAGGCCCTGTTGACCTGTTTTCCTGGCCTGGTCCCAGCCATAACATTGACATGTACAGGCCCTGTTGACCTGTTTTCCTGGCCTGGTGCCAGTTGTCCATGTGTCCACTGGATCTATTTGTATACATACCTGTGATATGTTGTTTGGTACACCGTCCCCCAACACCTCCCTTGTAAACATGTTCTCAGTCATCATCCCTCCAAAACTTGAAACCCGTTTAAAAGCATCCTTGAGTCTCTTCATCTCGTTTTCCCGTACTGAAACAAGAAAATTATGCTCATCCATCAAATGAAAAGGAAATTGAGGCTGACCATATTTCATAACTCCTCTTGAGTTACAAAATAATTATCTTGCACATTCAGGTGTGATCAAGTGAAAGGCACAAACTGCCTTCTTCAAAGAAACTTGTTAAAAAGATTAACAACAATTACAAGCATATTACACACAACCAGATATCTGTTCCTTCAATAATGAACAAACATATCAGAAAAATCATTTAAATTTTTACATGTTTTACATTAACTGAACAGATTGTAGTCACCATGTTAATGATATGTACCTGGCACATGTATTTTGGATGAAGAAATATTGACAACATGCAACAGACTTTTTACGATACATATATAATGTACATGTATATAGACTAATGTCACGATCAAACTGTACAGGTGTCATAACTACACATAGCTACTGCAGTTATATTACTGTCAGATAAACTGTACAGGTGTCATAACTACACATAGCTACTGCAGTTATATTACTGTCAGAAATCTGTACATGTGTCATAACTACACATAGCTACTGCAGTTATATTACTGTCAGACAAACTGTACAGGTGTCATAACTACATATAGCTAATGCAGTTATATTACTGTCAGACAAACTGTAAAGGTGTCATAACTACACATAGCTACTGCAGTTATATTACTGTCAGAAATCTGTACATGTGTCATAACTACACATAGCTACTGCAGTTATATTACTGTCAGACAAACTGTACATGTGTCATAACTACACATAGCTACTGCAGTTATATTACTGTCACTGTACAGGTGTCATAACTACACATAGCTACTGCAGTTATATTACTGTCAGACAAACTGTACAGGTGTCATAACTACACATAGCTACTGCAGTTATATTACTGTCAGACAAACTGTACAGGTGTCATAACTGCACATAGCTACTGCAGTTATATTACTGTCAGACAAACTGTACAGGTGTCATAACTACACATAGCTACTGCAGTTATATTACTGTCAGACAAACTGTACAGGTGTCATAACTACACATAGCTACTGCAGTTATATTACTGTCAGACAAAATGTACAGGTGTCATAACTACACATAGCTACTGCAGTTATATTACTGTCACAATCAGACTTTGCATTTGTCATATGTACACATAGCTATGATGATTATACTGCTGTACAGGTGTCATATGTACACATAGCTATGATGATTGTCTTGCTGTACAGGTGTCATATGTACACATAGCTATGATGATTGTACTGCTGTACATGTGTCACATGTACACATAGCTATGATGATTGTACTGCTGTACAGGTGTCATATGTACACATAGCTATGATGATTGTACTGCTGTACATGTGTCATATGTACACATAGCTATGATGATTGTACTGCTGTACAGGTGTCATATGTACACATAGCTATGATGATTGTACTGCTGTACAGGTGTCATATGTACACATAGCTATGATGATTGTACTGCTGTACAGGTGTCATATGTACACATAGCTATGATGATTGTACTGCTGTACAGGTGTCATATGTACACATAGTTATGATGATTGTACTGCTGTACAGGTGTCATATGTACACATAGTTATGATGATTGTACTGCTGTGATCAAACTGTACAAGTACTTTAACAACAGATCAGTTATATATTTAATGTGATGACCACTAAAGAGGTGTTGGATATTTGTTGGTATCCTATCATTACATATCTTAATGTTAATATATACAGTATCAATGTCATCTTACTTAAAACTTTACATGAATCCTAGCTAAAAGAGTCTATCATTACAAACATGAAGTAGATAGTGATCAACAGAGATTTTTATTACACCACAGCAGGTTCACAAACGTACAAGAAGTCCCTAGCAGTACATAAATCAACACAGTTTATACAACATAATCTAATGAATCACACATAAGTACATCCAATTCTACAGAAATCTATTGATTATTGGATTTCTTTATAAAAAACAAACTGGAGTTAATCAGTGTTACTGGAAACATGATACCATTTATCTATTAATTGATTCCGGACCGTAGCAAATGTATCACCATTATGTATATGGTCGCTCAATCAGTAAATCTCTCTGTTTATACTTATATAATTGTATTAATGCAGCATGCTGTTATAAAACACGAGTCAAAGCTCATAACTTTTCAGTTTCCTGTTCACAATTTTATCAAGGACTGATATAAATATTGTAAACAGAGGCAGTAGGACACACCTTCCAGTCTTATAATTCCGTTTAATTACCCCAACAAAATGTCAGTGAACACTTTATAGCATCAGAGAATAGATCTCCCAGATATCTTGTCATTTAAGCTTAATTCATCTAAGTTTCCATGGCTAACATTCTTTTGTATGTTCCGTCCGCTTCAAATCTAAAACTGCCTGTCAAAACATCTTTAATCATAATAATGCAAATAACTAGAATCCTAAACAACATGCTCAGATCCCAAGAAGACAATTGTTATAAAAAACTGCAGTTCCCCTCCCAACCCTCACCACAATGTGCAAAAAAAGTTCCAGATGCAATTTGTTCCACTATCACAAATGATTCCTAAACAACCAAGTATATTTCCCACAATAACCACAGCTTCATAAAACAACAAATTCCAAAAATAATCACAGATCCCTCATTAAGTAGATTCACTAAAACTAAGTTTTCAATGCAGCCACAGTTCCCCCCTCTACCTCCCCCCAACAAAAAAACCCAGTTATGGAGACAATCCAGTTTCCAAGAAAATAACAACCCCTAACACATCCACAGTTCCAAAGACAACCACAGAGCCAGTGACAAACCTAGTTCCCAATAGAACTAGTTTCCAAATCAACGATAGTTCCCAAGACAACTTCAGCTCCCAAGACAACAATGGCCACTATTACAACAAGCATTGTTCCCCACACATCCACAGACATCTAAAGTTCCAAAACAATCACAATTCCCAAGATAACCTCAGTTGAAGTGACTACAGTTTAAAAGACAACAACAGATCCAAAAATACAATTCTAGCTCCAAAGACAACCCTAGTTTTCCATTATCAGTACCCCACCTATATTGTATTGTAGCTTACTGTGGTGAAGCGATATACGGAGACTACCATAGGTTACCAATGATACATTTGCCAAAACACTCACCACCTCCAACAAAATTGCAATACCCAACACAGCAACAGTTCCCAAATTAATTCTAGCTCCCAAGACAACAACAGTTCAAAAACAACCATAGTTCCCAACACAACCTTATAATTAGTTCAAAATACATCTATCCATTGTCCATAAAACTATCACCAAGATCCCAACCCAACCGAAATTCCCAACAATTCTCTAACAATCCTAGTTCCCAAGACCAACACATTTTTCGAGCAACCCTAGTTAGTACCATCAAAAACCAGTTCCCAAGACATCCATCATTTCCCAGACAACTACAGTTCCCACAACAAACACAGTTCCCACAACAACCACAGTTCCCAAGACATCTTTCATTTCCCAGACAACCGAAGTTCCCACAACAACCCTTGTTTCTAACATCATAGATCACAGTTCCTAAACAACCAATATAAAGAGTTTTCCTAAGAAAACTAGTTTCCAATACAATCAACAGCCCCTTTTGTCCAAGACAATTCTAGTATCTAAAACAATCTCAGTTCCCAAATCAATGCTATTCTTCACGACAACCATATTTCCTAAACCATTTCTATTTTTAAAGACAACCACAGTCCCAAAACAATTTTATTTTTCATGACAACCACATGCCAGTTCCAAAAACAATTCTATTTTCGAAGACAATCACAGTCCCTAAAACATTCTTTTTTCAAAGACAACCACATCTCCAAAACAATTTTATTTTTCATGACAACCACATGCCAGTTCCAAAAACAATTCTATTTTCAAAGACAATCACAGTCCCTAAAACATTCTTTTTTTTTCAAAGACAACTGCAGTTCCCAAAACATTTACATGTTCTAAGACAGATATAATATCCAATTGTACTATCTATGACAGTTACCAAAACAAGCATGCTTCCAAAAAACAAACACAATTCCTGATATTATTAATGTCCCATAATTACCAATGTTACCAAAAACAACACTTATTTCTCAAAATCTCTATTTTCACATATCAGTTGATTTTTCAATACATGATAAACCCTTTAGAAGTCAATAGCACTACTGCATCTTGGTCCAAGCAGTTTATATTCATAATTGCTTTGAAAATTGATTTTTTGATATGTCCTCCACACAGGATCCAATAGTGGACTGCTACAACATGCATGTACCACTGCAAAACTAGTTCAAGACCCCAAGTGTCCTTGATATTTTCACTGTAATATTTACAGTCCTTCAAAAGGCACAAAATTTATAAGACCTAAACTTTTAAATATGTAACCCACGAATAGAATTATCCATGGTCAAAAGAGGCTTGTGGGCTGAATGGATGACTTAGAAGCAGAATTTAAAAGGCAATTACATGTATATTCCTTGTACACAACATAGACTTTTATAGGGGGATATCACACTTCAATATAATCATGACATAAGACAGTATTAAAAAACCTTCATGTTTACATTTAAAATTTATCAAATTGTTCATATAAAAATTAATCTAATTTCCCTACAGATGCATTTTTCTAAAGATGCCTGATATGACTCACATGCCGATAAACAGAAAACTATAGAAAATAATGTGTATTTCATGTAAATTGGATTACTGGTCGCAAGCTCAGCTACAACGATGGTACCAACTCCAAGACTTAAAGCGTCTGTCATGACAAAGTTGAATACAGGCAGTCTCCATGTTCCTCAAGGATCAATTGTAGACTGAACAGACCGTTCCTCTACGCATCATGGACAATAAACAAACCTGAAAAATCTTTTTACCTGATCATCCCCAATTTTTGGAAATAAGTTAGCTTTTCTTTTGACCTGGGAAAGTCCAAGATGCTATATAGGTGTTGAAGCACTGAGGTGCTCTTCGCTTTTGAGACCCATAA